ATGAGTAAATGACGCTCAGTTGCTTAACATCTGTCTTCTTATTCATACAGTCATTCATGAAAATGTGGGACATTTCCAGGAATAGGTAAACGTTTTGATAGGTGTTTTCCTTTATCAAGAACTTTAATACTTGTGTAGTTCATAGAGTGCCCTGTTGTATTGACATGAGATGCCAGAGCACATCTCTCGGGATGAAGCCTAGAATCACTTTTGTCTGATGAAATCCTTCCTTTTAGAGATCTAGAGGTCTGACCTATGTATATTTGGTTGCAATTATTGCAATTGATAGAGTGAACTGTGTTGGTTAAGCCAAGCAACGGGACCCCGTCTTTCATCTTTGAAAAAATACAGTTTATAGTGGTTTATAGTGAGGACGGATTTGCAAGCAATTCGACAGTTCAACGGGCTACATAGTCTGATCAGCGTAGGGGTCAGTTCTTTGATATAGGGTAGGACAGCAAAACTAGATCTGGAATTTGGGATGGCGGTTATATTATTGTTAGAATTGGTATTGTTGTTGGGAATTATATCAGTTCTATTATTAGGAGTTGTGAGAATTTTACTTGGATTAGTAGAGTTTGATAAAATACTAGAAGGAGAGCTGAACAAGACCTTGTTAATCAAACACTTTGGATAACCATTGTTGATTAACAGTGTTGATAGCTTCCGCAAATTTATATTTATATATATATATTTGATTAATCAGCTAATGATACAACTTTATTGTCGTCTGTTGCATCTTCGTATCGTACTCCGATTTCGAGCAAAAAATAAAAACCTCTTGTTAATATTTTGTCAAATTGTTGTTACTTTTCATTCATTCCATTCCATTTAAAAAACGGCTTATAAATAAATACCGTGCATTGATTAAATTAAATTAATTTTATTTAAACCATTTTTCGACATGTGTAACGAAGCCATTTCTAGTTTTTTTTTTTTACTCCAACTACCACGAAGGCCTAAACACTCATTGGGTACCGTGGGGCTATAGGAGGATACAGGGGAAAGGGGGAACGCCACACGGACTCTGGCGAGGGAACACATGTGCATGCAACATGCACACATTCTGGCAACGCCTACGAGATCCGCCGGGTAGTACCACCACGTTTGACAGTTAGAGACCGTCTACCACCTACGGACAATCACAACATCCATAGCCAAGAGAAAAATTTCTCCTGGGACGTGACTCGAACCCGCACAGCGCACGGCGACTGATCAGGAGACCGAAGTGTCTACTACTGCGGCCACCGCTGCTGCCTAGTTTACTGCCTTAGTTTACTTTCTCGAAAACGAAGTAGGATACTAAGAGGCAAAACTCTTATGATAGTAACTGCCGAATTCGAAACTAGATATATATATTTTTTAAATCAGTGGCGTACATTTCTTGTCACATCGACGAAATTCGGCAAAATCAGCAAGAGGATCACTGAGATATTAATAAAAAAAATATTTTTTTTAATTTTGACACTATTTTGGAAACCAGATCAACTTTAAGATTCGATAGAACTTTTAAAATTAATGCATAAAGTCTATATAAACATGGGTCGAACAATGCGTGGCTTCCGAAATACAGGGTGTTTTAATTTACTTTCTAAAATAGTTTTTTTTAAATATTTCGGACAATATTTGATGTATAACGACAAAACGAACCATGGGCATAGTTTTACTGTAGCCGCTAGAGGGCACTCTCTACTGTACCTGTAGGGTATTAAAATGACCGAAAAATTTTTCTTAGTGCAATTTTTTGCTTTTTGAATAAAAAAACTGATTCAACATAAAAAAAGCTCTCTTGTGAATTTTCGTTATACTCGTAGTTAGCCGTTTTTGAGATATTTCGATGTTTAAGGTTCGAGCCATTTTTAATTATTTATGATAAAATAACGTTAAAAAGTCAGTATCTCGATAATTTTTAGAAGTAGGCTGTGCCTGCAAATATTTTTGAAATTGAAAGCAGAATAAGGTTAAACGTCAATTAGTTGACAGTTAGTTTTGTTGTCTCTTGAAACCTGAAACGTTTTTTTGCAATTGTGAATGTACGAAATTTAGTTTCTTTTACCTGTTTTTTTTGTAAGTTTTATAAAAATGCCATTTTTTTTTTCTTCAATCAAGAGTTAGCGGATATTCATTTTGTGTATGGCTTTGTAAATGGAAACGCAGCAGAAGCAGCCAGAGAATACGCACGAAGATTTCCAAACAGACGACATCCATCTCGCTCAGTATTTGTAAGAGTGCATCGCCAAATAATTGAAAATGGTTTTGGAAATCTCCAAAGGGAGCAAATCAGCGCAGATTTACCCGTATGATTCTGCGTGAGTTTGATAGAGATGCGACCACAAGTGTTAGGAGAGTTTCTGGTGCCTTGGGAATTTCAGCAAGCCATGTTCACCGTGTTCTTAGAAATGACCATAGACGTCCTTACCATTTGCAACCTGTACAAGGACTACAGTCAGGGGACGGAGAACGAAGAATCACATTTTCTCAGTGGATTCTTGATAGGACTGATAATAATAGGGAGTTTTTAACTAACGTTTTATGGACCGATGAGTCATGCTTCACTAGACGTGGAGTGGTAAATTTTCATAATCAACATATTTGGTCGCATGAAAATCCGCATGCAGTTCGGGAAAGAAATTTTCAGCATGAATTTAGTGTGAACATGTGGATTGGTATCTACCGTAATCGACTAGTTGGACCCTACCTTTTGCCTGCAAGGTTAAATGCTGCGACCTTCTTGGAATTTTTAAAGGCTGAACATGCAAATATGTGGGATGATGTTATGTTAGATTTAAGAAAATTGGCCTGGTTCCAGCTTGATGGTTGTCCAGCTCATTATTCGAGAATAGTTAGAAACTGGCTGAACGAAAATTATCCAGAAACTGGAGGACCAGTCGCCTGGCCTCCACGATCCCCTGACCTAAATCCATTAGATTTCTTTGTGTGGGGATTTCTAAAAGAAAAAGGGTACCAGATTCCCGCAACCACAAGAGATATGCTAATAGACAGAATCAGGAATGCATGTGATGAAATAAGGCCTTATTTGAATAATGCTATACCACGTTCGATCATTCGTAGATGTGAATTGTGTGTTGAACAATTGGGTTTACATTTCGAGCAACTACTTTAGATTTTGTATGTTTGTCCTAACTATCCAATAGCATTTTAGTTGTAAATAATTAATTTAATTTGTTAAAAATAATATTGGAAAATTAAACAAATTAATATTCTGTTTTTTTGTGTTTAATTGGAGTTAGGAATTATTGCTGTGTTTAAAAACACAATCTAAACGATCATCTTAATTACTTGTAATGCAAAATTGAAAATGTAAAAAAAAATATTATTTTCCCATAAATAATTAAAAATGCATCGAACCTTAATAATCGAAATATCTCAAAAACGGCTAAGTATAACGAAAACTCACAAGAGAGCTTTTTTATGTTGAAAAGTGTGAAGAATCAGTTTTTCATTCAAAAAGCAAAAAATTGCACTAAGAAAAATTTTTCGGTCATTTTAATACACTACAGGTACAGTAGAGAGCGCCCTCTAGCGGCTACAGTAAAACTATGCCCATGGTTCGTTTTTTCGTACCAAAAAAACCCTTGTATACCAATTTTCACTGTTATACATCAAATATTGTTCGAAATATTTAAAAAAAACTATTTTAGAAAGTAAATTTAAACACCCTGTATTTCGGAAGCCACGCATTTTTCGACCCATGTTTATATAGACTTTATGCATTAATTTTAAAAGTTCTATCGAATCTTAAAGTTATGCAACAATAAACTGAAACACCCTGTATAAACATTTCTACCTAAATTTGGTTGACGAATGCGTCCTTGTAATTACGTCCTATAATTAAGTAACACCCTGTATACCATTTTGTTGGAAACATGGTAGGTCTGGGCACGTCTAGGGAGAGGGGTGTTAGGGTTTACAGGTCCAGTCAACCAGTTTCAATCGAAGTTGCCAGCTGTTCAAAGCGGCTTAAGGAAAAATAATTTCTATGTAAGGGGGTGTTTTAGAGCAAAAAATAGACACGTCACTCCTGGTCCAAGACAGGAAGGCACACGACCTCCTTCCCGCCCATAGCAATTACGCTCACTGAAATCATGAAGTTGATATTTCTACTTATGTACTTATCGGGGTGGTTTCAATGCGAACATGCAAGTACGACAAACATACCTGGAAGCAACACTTCACTATAAAAGATTGAAACTTCGTGTAATTAAGATCGAGTTTCGCCAAATCACCACACTACAACCATGTAAAAATCAACACCCGAGCTCAAACCTTGGCCACGGCATTAAACTTCGTTATGTAGCCTTTATTGAAACACGAACCTCTGAATCAAGGAACCCGTCTAATGATGAGAATAAAAAATCTGTGATAGTGTCTAGCAGTCTGGCAGCAGTAAAATGTGTTTCACATGTGTATCAATGAGGAGCTTCCCTACTGGAACATTAATTATACTTGCATTCTCATACTATTAGTGTAGACAGTCATGGGCGTCATCAGGGTAGGAAGAAGAGTACAATTGCAAAAATAAGGGTTGCAATATACACACGTAACAGACACCACGCCTAACACAAATATAATATTGTGTATTTTAATGGAGAAAAGACGAGTCTATAACATAATAAACAGAACAGAGGTTATTGTAAGAATATTTACGATTGTGAAGAGATATCTCGCTCCAATAGGTCATCGAAAAATCTTTCGCTGAAACGTCAGTTGATCCCACCTAGTATTAAACCTAACAAAATAGTTAAAATGATAAGGAATCTAAGTCAACTGATCCGAGAGATGATTTCTCCAATAATTCGTAAACTAATTCTACCTGATATCTAGATTTTGAAGAACTTTGCCTTGGAAGTACTGGAAGAAAATGACGAAAAGAAGTAGGTCGAAAATGAATGTCGCATCAAAGTATTTATTGTACCCTTACAGAATTGAAAGCTAAGCAGTAATGATATTACCGTGTAATAAAATTCGAGGAAACTCACCTTCAGAATTTCCTAACACAAACTAGGTATTGACGGTTTGGAATAACAGAGTGAAGTGCATCGAACTCCAATATGTTTGCAGATGGGTGTCCTATTCTACTGTGCCCAATGTGTTTGGAAAGCAGAATTTGGCAAGTAGTCTGGCGCCAGGAAGTCTGATATCAACGCGACGACGCGTCTTTCGCAGCTACCCGATTATTTGTATACGAGGAGCGGGAAAAGGGTTTTTATCATACAAGGTAATAAAATAGAATAGAATATATTTATTATCCATCAGACAAAAACAATTTGTATGGGATTCGTCGCAAGAAGAAAGATGTGTATAAATAGAATGCATTACACATTGAACGCAGATAAATAAAGAGACAGAAACAAACAAAATAAAATAAATAAACATTATGAATACATTTTAGAAACATGGCCAAAATATACTCACACGGACATAATACACAGTATAAATAAAATATAAATAGTACACGTTGAAATTGGACGTAAAATCCATAAACGCGACAAGACAGAGATAAAAATCACACGTGGAATATATGCACAAGTTGACTAGAAACTCTTTCAACTGATTCTTGAAGCGACTTAGACTTGCGCCACATTTCAGTTCCTTCGCTAAGTTATTGAATATTTTAGGACTCAATATGCTGTGCATTTTTGAAATGTACTTCCCTATATTCAGGGTAAATTTACTTTTATTCGATATACCGAGAGTTCATATACTAGTACGCCCGGTACAGTCAATATTTTGTATTCTATTGAATAGTTCTGCGCAACTATAGGTAGAAGCAACTTGCGCCCGTGATCGCACAATTCGCTTTTGAGCTATGAATGTAGTCTGAGGTGCTGATGAAGAGCCCCAAAAATAGATTCCATACCTAATCCTAGGCTCTACCAGACCATAATATACTGATATTAAGTGATCCCCTGAGATGTTTCTAAACATGTAGGAGATGGTATCTAGCTGTCATACTAAATAATCGCAGTGCACCCTGAAGTTTAGCTTATCATCAATGTGTAGACCTTGAAATTTAACGCTATTCTGGTAGTTTACCGAAACACCATTGTGAACTGTTTCCGACATTTCTGTTGTCCCCAGAATAATGGTGTTTGCCGAGTTCCTTCTGAAGCGTGATAGGGGACCTTAAATACAATGAATTTGTACATATACCATATCTATATATGACTTTCAATAGTTTTCGGGATTTCCCCACTTGTGATTTTTTAGCAATCAGACGAAAGTGGGCATCTGAGTCTGAGAAGAAAAAAAAACTATGTACGCAATGCGTAAAATGCTTTATATATACAGGGTGTTTGGTACATGAACCAACAAAATTTTTTGGACGATTGATGATTTTTTATGGAAACCCAAATGCTCTAAAGGCTAGGGTTACCGAGATAACCACTTAATAACTTAAAATCTAGTGATTTTATCTGGATCAATCCTGGTTCCAAAAAAAGCTTATTAAAAATTGAATCCAAACCTGCACAAATATACAGGGTGATGTATTTGAAATTTTTGAGACAAAGTACAATTCGCGTTTTTGACCACACTGTATGAGCAAAAATGAAAATTCGAAAAAGTAACAAACAAAATAAAAGCTGAGGTGTGTAAGTTTTTTTTTATACCAAATTCAGCACTCCAAATTTCAAAATGGCGGATTGAGGGGACGGTTTTTCTGTACAAAACACCTTATATCTCAGTAGTTAATCACCAAAACCCCATAGTATGTTATATCAATTTTCTTCTTTTGAATTGGTATATCCAAATATGCAATAAAATTCGAGGCATTCAATTTAAAAAATCACAACTTTGATATAATAGGTCAAAATTGGGACACCCTGTATAATTGCTAATATTTTAGAAATGTGCCCTGTATACAAGGTGGCCCATCCATGTGTGGACGGAATATTACTCATAAACAAATACACTTTGGGAAAAACTATTTATGGGATGTTATACTTGACAGTTGAGGGCACATTTCTAAAATATTGGGTATTATTGAGGGTGTCCCAATTTCGACCTACATATCAAAGTTGTGATTTTTCAAATGGAATGCCTCAAATTTTATTGCATATTTGGATGAACCAATTCAAAAGAAAAAAACTGATATAATATTCTATGGGGTTTTGGTAATTAGCTACTGAGATATAAGTTGTTTTGTCCAGAAAAGCCGTCCACCTCGGAAACCCCTCAATCTGCCATTTTCAAAATTGGAGTGCTGAATTTTATATCAAAAAAAAACTTATCTTATTTGTTACTTTTTCGGATTTTCATTTTTGCTCATACAGGGTGGTCAAAAACGCAAAATCTGTGAAGTGATTTTAGCAATGCCTAAACGCTGTCTATCCTAAAAGATTATCTTCTTCCCCTTTGCCCTCGTTCTTCCTTCTCTCCTTCCCTTTCCTTTTTTCCTTAAAATTGTCTGGTTTCTGGGTTACCAGACCTGACAGACTTATAAACTGACACTGTGACTCAAGAGCTAAGGTCCCACGGACCGCTCTGACAACCAACGATGACTGGAATTGATATCAACAGGCAGAACATGCACTATTATGCGACGGAAAACCCTTACTGGGTTAGGCAAATACGAGTAGATTTCCAAAATAAATGGAGCTTGAATGTTTGGGGAGGAGTTATTGGCAGACAAGTTATCGGGCCTTTCTTTTTCGACAACAGATTAACAGGTACTTAATAATTAAATTTTTTGATCGAGCATTTGCCTTTTCTTTTGGAGGATGTCAACCTGCAAACTCGGATGCATATGTATTCCAAACATGACGGCGCACCTCCACATTATCATAATCGTGTGCGTAACTATTTGGACACCTGGAGTAACAATCTTGGCCTCCTAGATCACCAGATATGACACCGATGGACTTCTTTCTATGGGGCTACGTTAAGCAAGAGGTTTAAAGATATCCACCATCTACCCCGGAAAATATGAAGGAAAGGATTAAGGATGCTTTTCTGAACATAAGGGAACACATGCTGAGGGATGTGCAACGGTAATTTATCCAAAGACTACGGCTGTGTATACAACATGGTGGAGATTTTTCGAGCAGTTTTTGTAGATTAAGACTGGGGTAGTGTTAGTTGTTTGTTTATGTTGTTGTTATAGTTATTTTTCTCTATTACGCATGAAGCTGATTTATACTGTTCTGATTGTTATTAGTTTTTACATCAAATCTGTACTCTTAGTGGTAATATGGAACTAGCCCACTGTTTATCTTTTGTTTCCATGGATGATGTGATTTTGTTTCCTTACTTTTGGTGTGTTGTCGTATTAAAAGCTTAATACCTCAAAATCTAGTGATTTTATCTGAATCAAATCTTATAGCAAAAATAACAATATACAAATATTTGAAATGCATTTGAAATTTTTTATAAAAAGTACAATTCGCATTTTTGACCACCCTGTATGAGCAAATTCGCATTTTTGATCACCCTGTATGAGCAAAAATGAAAATTCAAAAGAGTAACAAATAAGATAAAATCTGAGGTGTGTAAGTTTTTTTTGATACAAAATTCAGTACTCCAAATTTCAAAATGGCGGATTGAGGGGTTGCCGAAGTGGACGGTTTTTCTGGACAAAATACCTAACATCTCAGTAGCTAATTACCAAAACCCCATAGTATGTCATATCAATCTTCTTCCTTTGAATTGGTTTATCCAAATATGCAATAAAATTTGAGGCATTCCATTCAAAAAATCACAACTTTGATATGTAGGTCAAAATTGGAACACCCTGTATAATTGCCAATATTTTAGAAATGTACCCTCAAATGTCATGTATAACATACCATAAACAGATTTTCCCAAAATGTATTTGTTTATGAGTAATATTCCGTCCACACATGGACGGGCCTTAATGATACGAATATTTAAGGGTGTGAGTCTACATGAAAATTAATGTTAGTTTGCTGTATAAACTATGGTCCAAAAATGTTTCCTTACAAAAACTCGGGGTGTTGAAGTTTTAGGAAAAAATGGAAATTAATTAATATTTTCAGAACCGCTTCAGATATCTCACTGATATTTAGTACATGGTGAAAGTTAATAAAGCTGCATATTGTTCAATGCAAAAATAATTTTTAACTATAGCAGTGGCGTGCATTCGGGTATTGACTTCGGCATTTTTTAAGAAAAAAAAGGTACGCCAATGATTTTTTGCCGAATAAAAATTATTTTTGAATTCCCTGTTCAATTTAAAACAAATGATCTCTCTTGAATTGTTTTCGTTCGATGCGCCATTTTTGAGTAAAAAAATAAAAGCCGTTCTATTGGATATAACAAAAAATCCACTAAAATTCTCCAATTTGATGGCAAATATTTAAGTGTCTAGCGATCTTCCTCCTACTCGTTTCAGGATGTTCTTCGACTTCGTGCAGCACTGCTTCCTCAATTTCAGGTGTTCTCACACTTAAAGGTCTACCTTCAGATGTTCCTTTTCGGACAGGACCAGTTTCAATAAGACGACGATGAATATTAGAAAAGGTCTGGCATAGCACGATCGGGATATCTCTGGTGATAAATCCGTCTGACTTGCTCACCATTACCGTCGGTAAGTCCATATACGTAATGCATTTCCGCCATTTCCTCATTGGAATAATTCACCATTATTAACAAGATTGTAAAAACTAAATAATGAAAAAGATGTCACCGCGAACAGATTTGAATAATAGAGACTTGTCAGATGTCAAAAGCCAGTGACATATTCCAGGACAACTAGATATTTATTACTAAATTGCATTAATTTTCTCGGACAATAGAACGGTTTTTGTTTTCACTCAAAACTGGCACATCGAAAGAAAACAATTCAGGAGAGATCATTTGTGTTAAATTGAACGGGTAATTCAAAAATAATTTTCATTTGACAAAAAACCATTGACGGACCATTTTTCTCTTAAAAAATATCGAAGTGAATACCCGTACGCACGCCACTGTTAAAGCTAAAAATTATTTTTGCATTAAAAAATATGTAACTTTACTAACTTTCACTACGTACTAAATATCATGGAAATATCTGAAGCGGTTCTGAAAATATTAATTAATTTCCATTTTTTTCATAAAACTTCAACACTCAGAGTTTTTGTAAGGAAACACTTTTGGACCATAGTGTATAAAGCAAACTAACTTTAATTTTTCATATAGATCCACACCCTTAAATATTCGCATATCATTAAGGAACACCCTGTATATAGTGCAGGTCACTCGATGATGTTTGATCATATTCTAGGCATATCTTTTCCTTTAGACAGTATGTGTCATGGGAATTCGACGATTCTTTTTTTATACTTGAAACACTCGAACCCGCACCAGCGCACGCCTACCACTACGCCTCCGCTGCTGCTAAATTACCAATCATGTCCGATAAATGCACATATTTGGAGGTAATCTTGCATCTGGTTTAGCATACGTATTTTGCATTTAAATAAATATATGGAGATATATGTGTTTAGTCTTTATTGACATGAGTATCTGGGCAAACCTGTTTGAAGACAATCCTATATGTATCGTATATAACAAGTTTTATTTTACTAAATAACCAGTGATTTTAACAAACTCTGGGTGTTTTGGTCATAGACTATACTCGTACAATGCCTGCCACCTGTCGGAAAAGAAGATACACGTTCGATTTGGAAGAATTAATTTATATGGGACACCATAACGTCATCCAAGCCAAACTCCATAAAACCCGAGAAAATGAAAGATTTGAGATCCGTTTATTTTTTATTGTTTCCTAAAATATTTTGTTCCTTTAACTATTTACATAAATCAGTTCTCAGCCATTCTGCTGGCCAAATGATCCTAATATTATAATGACAGGAATTAACACATAAAACATATATGTTCACTTAAAGACGTCTTAAAAATAAATGATGGAACTCAATATAAAACTTCACTCATACAAGTATAACTATAATACATATAAATACATTCGCAAAAAATTATCTCGAACCTGACGTCAACAAGTTTAGCAATGCAGCTTTCTCTTTTTCTTTTTTCTTCACTATATCAATGCAACGATTTCTCCACGTACTTTTCCTCAGTTTGATAGGCCTGCTACCGACATATCGTCCTGAAAACAGAAAATGTATAATTTTATCAATAGGGTGCACACATAAACATCAGAATACGATGAAGTATGATGGAAAACATTTTCCACAAAAGCTATTTCATAATACTATAAATTACTGCATCATACCAGGTGGTTCAAATTCGACTCTCAGCACTGGTATCTCAAACACTGTACAAGATACGAATTGGTTAGATGGGGGCAAAGTTGCTTATTCACCGAACTAAGAAAATGGCACTTAGAAAGGTTCATAATTCCGGAGATGAATAAAAAATAACGACTTTTTAAGAGTCGTTTCTGTTTTTTCTTGACCATTTGATGTGGGATTTCAGAATAAATTGCACAAAATTGGTCACGTTTCGTCTCTTGTCCTCAATCAGCAACTTTATTTTTTCTTATGAACGTCATATTGGATCATTGTAGGTAACATACTTTTTAATTCTCATACCAAAGATATAAAATATGCCTTACATTAATAGCGTACAACTATAATTACAAAAAATAGAAAATCCTAAGCAGGCCCTGAAATTATCAGATAGCCATTTGTTTCATAATAGTAACTCCCTCATAACTGGATCCTGGAAGTAGTAATCCAGTCAATATGGTTATAAATTGTCACAAATTAGTATGAGTGTTATGAATTTGTGTAAAGGTAATAAACGAGACTTTGATCAGTAAAAACAGTGGTTTCGTTACAATATGACCAGCCAAGGTGCCAAGTGTCCCTTCAGTTTTTATGAACATTACTTATTTCCGTTTTTTTCTAATGATGGGGCATTGCATATCATGTTATGCATTAATATTAAAAAATTATAGCTGTCTTAAAAAGTAATCTTCCTACAGTGGGTCTTAATTCATGGAATAAAAAACAATAAAATGCTGTTTCTTTCATATCATTTAATGGTAGTAGTTAAATCATTGAAATTGGTATGGTTTTAAGAAACTGAGGGAAATATTTTAAAGTAAAACCTTTGTCTATATTTCAGGTTGCTAAGCAGAGTTCATATATGGCATATCTAAACCAATGCACGCGTCTAAATAAAATGAATCTATGTCTTACAGAAAGCCTCAATGAGATTTATAAGAAAAATAAGGTTAATGAAAGAGAAAAGGGGACAAAAAGAAGAAAGTAGCAATATTAGTATGTTGTCAAGGATTTTAAGCATCTTTTGTCCCAAAAGTTATTTGCCCTCCACCTCTCTAACTTCTGTTTGATTATCAAAGCTCTCTATCTAAACTCACCATTCATCTCCTTCATAGCCTTGGTGAAATCAGCTGGATCCTTAAAACTAACAAATCCATAGCCTTTTGTCTTATTTGTCCTCTTATCTCTGATGACTTTAGCCCTTTGGAAGGAAGGGTACTTGTTGAATGTTCTTACCAACAGCTCATCAGTGACGTCATTGCCCAAATCACCGCAGAATATCCGAAAATCATCATCTGGCCAGTCTGCCAATGATGTGTCTTCCCAAGTTTGTCCTCCAGCTATTCTCATCAGTTTTCTGTTTTTACTTCCTTTTCTCTTGTGGTCTTCTGGACCAAAGGACTGTAGGGCACTGCTTGCCTTGCCTATTGAAGGAATATGTCTCATTGTTATTATGTTTTTTACACACTACTATGCCTGCTAACTGGTTGGTGTTTGAGAATTATTGCTTTTTACATTTATGAACAATGGAAGCTTTATAATAAGCTTTTATAATTATAGAAAAAAAACATTTTGTATTCATCAAAACATTTTTGTCAGTCTAGATGGAATAGAAAATAGTTTTTTTTGTTTAAATCTCCCATACAGACATTTAAATAAAAATATAAAAAACCAAAACATGCCCAGTTTGTTCAAACACAATCATCTTCAGTCATTTTTTGGTAGGAAATTTGAGATTACAATTTAGAGAGTTTCTAGATTTGATTTTGCACATTTCTTAATTTTCAAGGTATTTTAGAGAATAAGAAAAACAGGGTGTTATAACAGGTTTAAGGGTTGAAGACCAGATTCAACACAAAATAACTGTATTTTTGAAAAATAATGTTCAATTTTTTGCTAAACATACAGTTCACATACCTCATATCATGGAAAAAGGAGATTTTTGTGAATTATGTTTTTCCTATATTGTTACATGCTGAATGTGACCTTTGTATTTTCTTGACTCAAAATTCCATAGCATGGTGTATAATATGTAAGTGGGTCAAAAAGTGTATAATTTGGAGGCCTTATTTTTAAACGTTTTTCAGTGTTTTGCATAATTTTGAGCATACTTGAGTGATTTTAATATTTCAAACAAAAAATAAGTATTATTGCAATTATAATATTTCAATAGTATATTATTTATTTTTACTGCATCAAACTCGAATATTTGTTTATTGGCATGTACTTTTGCACCATTTACACACTTTTTAGTCTCCTACTGGGCACTTCAATGTCACAGTATCATAATGGTTCCAAGTTTTGACTCTAACTCTTTCTTTTACACCTTCTTTAAAATTAGTGGACTACTGAAATAAGTTGCCAACAGAATGAAAAATAATCATCTTGCACTGCTTTCTTGATGTTGACCTACACTGAAACTTATCATGTGAATAATCCCCATGCTTGAGAGATCTTCTTTACTGAAGTATGTTTCAATCACAAAGGTGATCTTATTCAGTACAATACACTGAAACTTATCATGTGAATAATCCCCATGCTTGAGAGATCTTCTTTACTGAAGTATGTTTCAATCACAAAGGTGATCTTATTCAGTACAATGGCATTTATTTGATTTAAACAGACTTTCAAAATTACTGTCACTTCCTCATACAGAAATCCCTCTTACCTTGTGAAATTGCCAGTTCAGCACTAACTTTCTCATTTTTCAACTTCTTCAGTTTCTTTTCGACCTCTGACTGTAATGCAATAAAATCCACAGTGGGTGCTGCTGGGGCCGCGGGCGCAGGGGCTGGTGCAGGAGCAGCCGCAGGTTTAGGGGGCGCATATAGGGTGGGCTTAGCAGACACTACAACTGGTTGTGGGCTGATGACAGGCTCTGCTTGGAAAATGTGCTTTCGACTGATCTGATGAGGAATAAGCATGGGAGGCGCTGGAGGCGGAGGAATTGTTCCAAAGCTTGTGATGAAAGTTGGACCATATGTGTTCACCATTGCTGGTTGGCCAGAAATTTCAGCCTCGAACCTATAAAGTAGTCAGTTTTATGGTACGGTTCAATATTATTATTTGGTAAAGAAATGTTACCTGCTCATTTCGTCCTCCATCATTCGGAATTTAGACTTATCCATCTTGAGTATACTTTTTCAAATTTAGCTTTCAGAAATAATAATGGAAGTTGATTAATTTCCAATTTTCACTTTTCTATTATAACTCATAAACTCATTCATTATAACTCTGCGTCATAACCTAAAAGCACAAAACACATAAGACTGAAGGCAGTCTATCAAAATTGACAACGACGTTTTGTAGATTTTGAAGGCATCAATTGCAACGTTGCCAGTTCAGCATAGAATATTCATTCGAATAATTATTGGAAATATGGACTGTGGAGATAATTTATTCACATAAATATATAATACAAGATGGTGAATAAATTTCAGTCCACAAAAAAGATATCTTTGTACGTGGAAAAAAATTAAAAACAAGTGTATTAAATAAAAATAAATGTTTGTTACCAAAATAAATAACCATGATTCATATTGATCTACGCAAGGGAAAACTATTTGTCGTCGGCGGAAACTTCTTTATTTATTCATGTGAATAGCTATCGCTAATTTTAAACGAATTGAATAATCAATCTAAGAGATCGGTGGTGTACTTGAGTCTGCAAGCCTTGATTACAATTGGGGGAAACGCAAGGTTCTGTGCCTTTCAGACGTCCCTCTCACTCTACTCCACAGAGTATTTTCATTGAACCCCCATTGAGAGCGTGATTGAGAGTTTGAGTTGGGGAACTTAGGTGTCCACTACCCGATAAATGCCAGTACACACGGGCGCTAAATTGCCGCGCTGCAAAAAACAGCACGACCACTTAAGATGCGTTTTGATAAGTCCAAATGAGAGTATTTCATGACAGGGACGTCACTCAAATTGCAGCGCTGCAAAAAGCACGTTCGGCAGAACGCGAGTCGACATTTTGAACTGTTCCATATCTACATCAATGTAATGCGACAATTCAACACCCATTTGTACCGGCAGCAAGTGCGGATTTAGGGGGGACACAGCTCCCCCTCCAGACTCCCAAAGTCAGACATTTTTTGTTTAAGAAAATGCTATATATTGCTGAAGCTCAGTATAAAATTACCTTGCTAGACCAGAATCGTGCTCCTAGACCTATCCCACCCCCGCTCTTCAATTTTATTACAAGGGCGTTTGCTCTCAGATGGGCTTGTGGAGTTAGCGTTGTAAAAGTCGCATATGCTTGTAATTTATTCAAAATATGAAAGTTATTTCTCACTTGAAGAGCGAATTATAACGATGTTCAGCTTTTTGGTTTAGGTGTGGAAAGGTATGGTATAATGTATGAAAATGGAAACTCTTACAGTATTGTAACCACCTATGTATATTAAACACAGATATACAGTGCTTTTCTTTAATGTCCCCCTCCCCTTTGATTTTGTGAACGGATCAATTCAAAAAATTAAAACTTGAGGTAATGAAATTGATGCCTTGATACCATATTTCAGATGAAAATGTCAAGATGGCCGCTGGGCGCCATCTCGGAAAAAAAATATATGAAAACGGGGGTCTTGTGGTACATCATTTTGATTATTTTGAAGCTCCTGAGGAATACTTTATAATCTTAGAATATAAAGTCAATATCAATACCTTTACCTACTATAAAATGGTGGTACATTTAATTATTACTTGAACACAAACCCACTAACATGCATATCTCTACAAATAATTGTAATTCCCTGCCGTATCCACAGCACCAGCGATAAAAACTTGCTTTGTAATTTTTTGTTGACAGTGACGAGAATATCAGTACGAAAACAAACATCATTGTACAGGTAACATCACGTTAACATATTCCTTTTTCGTTTTCAGTTTTAGTGCTAGATACTGTTTGACTATTTTTAAAATGGTCAATTCTCGTCCACTGGAAGAAAAAATCGAAGCGATTTTTATTTATGGTGCGACGCGTAAATTTCATGAGACCGAAAGCATTTTTAATTATCGTTTTCCGAATCGTCCTATCTGTAGAAAATATTTGAGAGAACTTGTATCTAAATTTACAGCTACTGGTGTAAACAACAAGAAGCCCCCAGGTCATCCGACCAGCCCGGAAGAAAAGCAAGTTCAAATAATTGGTGAGATCATAGTAAATCCCCAACAGTCTACTTCCTCCATCGCGAATGTATGTGATGTTTGCCCTTCTAGGGACTTTTGATGAAGAATAAGTATCTCCCATACAAAATTCAAATGGTACATCAGCTAACTGAAGATGAGCCTGATCAAAGAACAGAATTCTGCGAGACTGTCAAAAACGGCATCCTGCCTATAGCCAAAATATTTGTTTTAATGACGAATGTACATTTTTTCTCAATGATAATGTGCATAGACAAAATTGGGCTGCGATATTGGGAAATCATTGTGGGGCCTCTATTCATCGAACAAACTTTAACCGGGGAACTGTATTTGGATATGCTGGAAAATAATATTAACCCTCTAATCACCGAAATCGTCGAAGCGAATCCTACTGAATTCGATACTGATATTGTATACCAGCAAGATGGTGCTCCACCACACTACTACAGACAAGTTAGGAATTATTTAGATAACAATTTCCCCGGTCGTTGGATTGGCCGTCGAGGTCCTGTGGAATGGCCAGCTCGCTCGCCAGATTTGATACCTTTAGACCTTTTTTATGAGGCTATTTATTGAAGCAAAAGGTGTACGAAACTGAACCTGCTTCAATATTGGATATACGGCTAAGAATAACAAATATTTGTAGAAATATCGATGTTACTATGTTTGAAAATGTTCGACGCGAAATTACGGACCGGCCGTTATTGTGTCAAGAAGTTCAAGGCAACCATTTCCAGCATCTTCTAAACTGAACTCGATGTATTTATTCGAATTATTAAGTTAAATGTCAATGTATTCAGGTAATTATTGAATGCACCACCATTTTATAGTAGGTAAAGATATTGACTTTATATTCTAGGGTTATAAAGTACTCGTCAGGAGCTTCATATAATTTTTTTTCAAGTTGGCGCCCAGCGGTCATCTTGAGATTTTCATCTGCCAATTTTATTCTAAAATGTGGTATCCACGCATCAATCTCATTACCTCAAGTTTTAATTTTTTGAATTGATCCTTTCAAAAAACCAAAGGGGAGGGGGACATTAAAGAAAAGCACTGTATATATGACAATAATGTTTTATTAAAAGGTATATTACAAAAAACAAATAGGATTTGCTATACATAAGCAAGACTGAGGATATCAAAACACTATATTATTCTACATTAGATTCTGAAACAATAGTGAAAAACAGTTTACATGATAAAAGTATAATCAATCTAATTTTGTGCAATTGCTTTCTTTAATAGTTATATAAAGTGAGAATATATTTCATATCTACACAAAATTAAACCCGCTTCATTTGTTAATTGCTTATTAGATAAACTATGTGTATCTATATAAAATTGCTGCTGAACTTCCATACTGAACTGAGTTATACCTATCTCTACGCGTTAATACAAAAAAATGTTAATGCATCATGAATGAATTTCAATCACTTGCATTTGCGCGATTTGTGCAGAGGTTTGCACGACAATTTATCCAAATGTGCAAAATACAGTCCTGGATACACAGAGGGGCATATAATACAATTACCCTACCCAGAATCCGACATATTCATTATTGTGTGCATACACGACATACGCATATTTTTGTTCTAGAATTCTACTTGTCAATGTACTGTTGACATTTACAGCTGATTCTAAACAGGCATTTTCCTTCTATGGATTGAAACATTTATTTATGTAGCCATTCTATGTTTTTATTGTTCTTATATAATGGAGTAAATAAATGTCTACTACTACTACTACTATTCATAAAATTGTACGTTTGACCCAACCATCCTTGCAGTAGTTTTGAAATACCAGATACTTTGATGTACAGATGCCATTTGAAACAAGACATCGACAGCACACAATAGCAGCACTTTGCAAAAAAGACTGACCAAGACATTAACTCCCTTCTATGTTTTCAAATGAGTTATATATATTTCAAGTCCTTGTCTTGCAATGAATCTTATCTTTATTGTAATTTTCTATTTACTACTACTCTTTAATATGAACATTTCAAGATTCAACATCATTTTCTGTCGACAAACTTGTTTGAGAAACATCTTTATTATTGTAAACATAATAAGTAGGAATAATATTAACATCATATATCGACATACACTGTGTCAAGAATAAAAATACAATTATGTAGTATAGTTGCTTTCATGGCAAAAATGCAAGACAATCTCTCTCTTATTAAACCTTCATTTAAAATATCCTCTCATTCATAATATTCATCTCCATGACATACATGCTTCTGGTAATTTTGACAAATTCACACAATCACCAAATATTATAAACCAAAGCTTGACTCTCAACACCTTAATTTAATGATATTTACAAAATGAATACAAATCACAAGTTATGCTAAAATATCCAGAAACTAATCAGAAGATATGCTAAATACTATTGTCCGTTCCACTGATAAACAGAAACACCATGTGTTCTCCATAGCATGTCCTCTAGTAATCCTTTTCCATTATCGGGACTTGGTAAACATTTCACTAGGACAAAATATAGATTTTAAACTATATAAACATACAACGAACCATACTGTGGTATTAGAGAAATTATAATTGCAAAAGGACTCAATACACTTTTCAGCTGTTGGAACTGGGCTTTATTGGTCATTTCCATATCACTGAAACTACTTTACTGCTCTTAAAAATAGTTGATTTCATACCACAATTATTTTGCAAATATCTGCATTAGAAAGCATTGAAAAATGTACTTTGGTGGGGGTCTTATCTATCACTTATAAAAAAATGTTTCATCATAATACTAATATTAATATAACAATACTTCAGCTATCTATAGATATGATTTTTTTAACTGTTGATTCATTTCTCTAATACCATATAACAACAATCATCAGTACTTATTTAAAAATACTGTCCCATGTTACAGCGGGGTAAATCAGGTACATTGTGGGTTGGATTGGGCAGGTGAACTGCATTTTGCACTACTGGTGATATGGAGAGAAAATGGGGTTGGCGATAATCTGAAAATTGGAAATTTCATAAAATCAATAGAATAAAATCTTAATGGTCATAACAGTAAAAATGACTACGTTATTTTGATTATCTTGTACTTTGTATAAAATGCTATCAAAAAATACTTATAAGATGTAGTCGCAAATCCATTCAGAGTTCACGCGGGAATCAATCGACAAATGAAAACGAGACTTCTCGAACCAAATGATCACATCCTAACTAAAACTGACCACACAAATGGTGAAGTCCTGGACAAGTTACAGAGATCCTATGGTGGATCTGCATATTTATATTACATGCAAGCTATTGGTTATGCTTTAAGAACATCTAAGGCAGGTTTAAGATAATGCATCAATCCACCACTACTCCTTAACACATACGCCATATATTGAGGCAAGCTTAGCCGTTTTTAATCCTTGATTGTACCTTTAGGTGGCATGATGTCATGTTGAATTTTGTGAATAGGTAGGCATGTAGCATTGGTGAATGTATTCTATCTGAAGATAGTCAACCATTTCGGCGTCCAAAAACGTATCCGAGATGAAATGAAATATCCTGATATCATATATAGGAATGTGCCACAGCCGTGTTCCTCTCTACAATAATTAGAAATCTACTTTGAAAATGTTACTGCATAGTATATAGTTGGCTTCAGCGCTATCTATAAGACACCAACCTTATCAAAGTAGATTTCTAAATATTGCAGAGAGGAGAAACATAGTTGTAACCAATTCTGACAGGTAATGGATATCTCATTCCATCTTGAATAAATTTTTGGACGCCAAAATAGTTGGCTATCTTTGGGTAGAATATGTTAATCAATGCATGTAGTGATCTCGATTTTGCCCTTTTCTTTATCCCCCCTTTTTGAAAACCTGAGACAAACCTTATTGATATTTTCCAATCTTGCTCATTTCTATTTCGCATTTGTGAACTCATACTATTAAAAATAGCAAACTACAGTTATGAGTGCAAAATGACTGAATGATAAATGTTTATTATATATGCAAACATCATAAGATCTATTTTTGAGGCGTGTGTTCGTACAAGTTCGTACCGAAATTATAATGTTGACGTATATTATCAGACAATAACATTTTTTTATTCCAACATTACGATGATGTATGGGCTGACTGCTATAAACATAGACAGGGTCTAATATAAAGTTCTCCATGCAGTATACAGAGTCTCAGAAAAGTTCTATTGAATAAAGTTATATTTTTTAATGTAACACCATGTATATTTTTAGTGCAACTGATAGCTGCTTTCTTTCTGATCCCAAATACACAGTGATTTTCATGAAGTTCCCCCAACACATTTTTTGAATGGGTCAAATTAGCAAGCTGAAATTCAAGAGATACCCACTTAAATACTATATTTTAACAGAAAAACAGTTGAAGATTTCAAGATGGCAGCTGGATGCCAACTTGCAATATTTTTTTTTTAATGGAAATGAAGTTACTTTTGAGTACTTCATACCCCTAGGATATAAAATCACTTGTTCAAAATGCTGAAATGCCTGGCTTTCAATGTTGAGCATTTTCGTACATTGAACTGCATATAACAAGCAAAACTATAAATATTCTTCTTTTGGAAGGGTCTGTTTCAATGAGCAATAAATGTATAATCAATGGAATTTGATGTGTTTATACGTCTGAAAAAAGTATGTATATTGTCTCTGGTTGGTCCATCTTGTTTTATCTTACAAACAATTAACCTCACCCTCACCCGTTTCGGGTGATTGATATAAGTTTTTTCAAAATCTAAATTTCGTATCTGTATACAGTTTAAAAAATACAAAAAATTCACTATCACATTATACAGTTTCACTAGGCTATTAACGCAAAATGGAAGTTGAGACAGCTGGTTGTGGAAGTTAGGAAAATATAGGTTATGTTTGTGATTAAAACATGAATGCAACTTTCCCTAGAATTTTTTGATTATGTAAGAAATACTTAAGTATGTAAGGAATGAAAAAGTGGTATTTACTGAATTTAAACTTACCGCCACTACTTTCTTTGTGCTTCTTTGCTGTTCCGAAATCTTCCGCTACATCACGCTGGCGCTTCCGCTTCAAGCAAGGGTCAAAATCCCGCCAAAAGGTATTTTTCATTTGCATTTGAACATTGTCCTCTAAATCATGGTTCTGAACTTCCATTTTAACTGGAGCTTCTTCGATATTCGGTCGGCCTGTATCAGATAAGTGGACATGGGGTTGGTAGCCGTAGTACCCGTTGGAAACATTCACGCTTTTGGGGCCAACATTTAAAAGGATATCGCTTATGTTTTCTTGTGGGACAGGAATCAGCTCCCTCATGTTTAGCGGATGCTTTTTTATTGCGACTAGACTGGAAACTGAAAGCGATATATGGCTTGCGGCACACCATTCGCTTCTCCTCCCGCTTCAAATTCAAAGTCAGCTGTTGATCAGTTTAGATTTTCAACGGACAGCGACAGCGTTCCTTAAAGAGTAGAGATGGGAGTAGTCAGTAAGTTTCGGTAATCGTATTTGTGAATGATGGAAATTTGCTCCAAAAAACATATTCGTATTTAACTTGTTCGTTTATTTTTTAGATTTCAAGTAAAACAGATAGTGGAGTGTATCGTGAATAGTACATATTCTGTGTCTCCTGTATTCACATTCTGATGAAGTGTAGTGTACTGCGAGTCCCACATCATGCTGCCAACGTTGTTTACAACGTTCGACACACCACAATTGGCAAGTGTGTCTCCTACAGTGGTGCCAACGTCTATTGGTGTCAGTGTCGCGCTTGAACCTTTACAACTGAAGGAAAAATTATACAAAATAAATGATGAAACAATTTTTTCGACCAAAACTTGAGCCTGTCAGAAGCCTCAAAAATGTCGAAAAGGAAGTTTGACCGTTTTTTGTTTGTTTTTCGACGATAGCTCCACCGCCACTGTACCGATTTTTGAAAACTGCAGAGCTTTTACGTCTTTTTCATAGTAGTAACCTATGGTCAAAATTTCATCAAAATCGTGATAGTACTTTCAAAGTTATCATTTGTTCAATCTTTTTCGTTAGTTATGAAATGGAAGTCAACATTTTTCTCAACTAGTCTTGCATTGCAACAGGACATTATAATGAAACAACTGTAAGCACTTAATAATTTATAATTTACTAAAATACATATCTTTAGGTCAGCCATAACTCACCTGCGAAGCCTACAAAATATTAGCAATATGAAAAAACTGTTATTATGGCAGCCTATGCTTTGTATGTATACTAATTTAATCCATTCTCCTCAAAAGTCCGTAACGGAACATACATCATTACGAATAGGTAGGTATTCACTACTTCACCACAATCACAGCAAACAGATAAATAATGTCGCCGCTACTGACGCTACTTGACGTGAGTCAAATTTACCAACAAAAGCCCGAACGTGCCATGTGGCGAACGTTGGACACATGCAATCCGTTAACGTTCTCCCACACGATGTGGCGAATGGCCATGTGTCCAACGTTGTAAAGTATTCGCCGCATCGTGTGGGAGCGATTTACTTCACAAGTGCTCTTGACCGAGCTTTAATAATTATTTAATCAAATCCAAGCGGATAACCAACATTTCCGTATTATGTACCGCGGTTATAATATGGTTCAAGATGACACACGGGATGGTGACGTCAGTTACTCGAATCGCTTGAACGCGTTGGTTTTAACCGCGGTTTGTTGCAAGATGTTTATTTTAGAAAAGCGCGTATATAATTTCTGATTATTTTTATTATCACTTAATAATCGGTGCTTTTTCGTCTACAACGGGGTATGGAAAGTTGAAAAAAAGAAAACTTTCATAATATTAATGGGAGGAATGTTTTTTTTCCGAAAAAAATTTTTACTGATGGAACCATGGCTTTGTAGCTATGATAACTTTCAATTCTCTAAACTTTTCCGCATGTCAAAGAAAATATTTATTGATTTAGCAAAAATTATGAAAAAGCGATGAAAAAAGATATTAACAAAACCGTATACAGGTGGACATCATCCAGTGAGTTTATACGGCCATATTTTAATATTCTTGTGGTATATGGCTAGACAGGATACTTTTTTAAGTGTAGGAACTAGATTTAAAGTGTCCCCAACAACAGTGCTGATTATAAATAATGCTAAAACTGAAGTCAGCCTGTATCAAGTTTCCCAAAAATGAAGCTGAAGTACAATAAAAATATCCAATACCCGGCAAAATTCTAACTTGTCACATGTCAAATAATAACCAGAAATATAAAACTACTCCGGAGTTGGGTAAATACCACAATTTTGCGGTGATAACTATGACATATAACAGCTGATTCATGACGTCACGGATCTTATAACCAAACTGATAACCACACTCGCTTGAACGGATCGGTAAATACCAATCCAAAATGGTAAATACCATTTCCATTTGGTTATCCGCTTGAATTTGATTATTGACAGTTATTTAACTGCTGTCACTTGACATATGAGTCTGGCATGGAACACATCTCCTTGTGTGTGTGACTCATTGTAAATGTTTTTGTAAATAGATTTGGATTTTCCATTTTTGATAATTCAATCAGAAGCATTTACCTTTATATAAGAAGAAATGGAGTGGTTATTTGGGAAAAAATTGACACCTGAAGAACTATTACGAAAGAACCAAAGGGCATTAAATAAAGCAATGCGGGATTTGGATAGAGAAAAGCAGAAAATGGAACAACAGGAGAAGAAAATAATTATAGATATTAAAAAACTAGCTAAGGAAGGACAAATGGTTTGTTTCACATGTTTTATAATAGAAAACGATTTAGAACGGAAACTATATATGGGAATGATCTCAGGAGAAATTGTATTGTGCATTATTTTAATTGTGATGTCATCACATCATCAAAAATCTCATTCAATTATTAAATGTTTCAAATTATAAAGCTTTTCATATTTGAAATTAATTTCTTATTTTTAATTGCATTCTAAATAGTTTTAAAAATGGATATACTAAAAACAGAGAATAAGTGGGAAAAAAATATGTATTTTTACAAAACCTTTCAATAACATTATATGCTAAATTTCTCAAGATATTTTCTATTTATTTCTGTATATGTGATTTCATCCTCAGGATGCAGTAAAAATAATGGCAAGAGACTTAGTTCGTACTAGAAGATATGAAAAGAAATTCATGCTGATGAGAGCCAACATTCAAGCGGTATCACTAAAAATTCAGACATTAAGATCACAGAATGCTATGGCTCAGGCTATGAAGGGTGTTACCAGAGCCATGGCTAGTATGAACAGACAGTTAAATCTACCTCAAATCCAAAGGATATTACAAGAATTTGAAAAGCAATCAGAAATCATGGATATGAAGGAGGAAGTAATGAATGATGCTATTGATGATGCAATGGAGGGCGATGAAGATGAAGAGGAAAGGTGAGACTCTTACTAGATGTAACTTATGCAAAATTTTCTTGCTCTAATTCCTTCTTTCCTACACCAAAAAATATGTTTATCTTAGTACTTAAACGTTGGACCTCATATATATTCAGTAATCACTCTATTTTTGACATAAATTATACATCCAATATCATTTGGGATCTTGACTGAATCATTATTTTGAAGAGCATGGTCAATCAAAATGACGTACGTTTCAACATATGCCCCTAGAGAGCCTGTATAGTCTCTAACAAACCTTATTTTATTAAATACTAACATTGAGAAAGCCTCTTTTTATGCCTCAATTTTTTTTTAAGAGCCCTCAGTACTTATATAACTCCCTACATTATATCAATATTGGTCCAGCAGCCACAAAATATTGAGTTTTGTCATGTAGTTAATCAAAAACATTATCTCAACTCAAAGCTTCGATGTTTGACTGGCTGCTAAATGAAATTACATATACTTTAAACACTGCTTACTGACGAGGAAGTTTCAGCAAGCTCAGTGGCCTTTTACTCAAAATTTTTATTGTGTTACCAAATTCTCGTAGTTCCGGGAAATTCTAGAAAATACTGATAATTTGCTGATCCTGGAAAAAACAGCATGTAATATAAATAATAGTAATAAAATAAAATGCACAAATAAATTTGAAAAGGCTCATTGTCTCAGACTTTTCATTACATTATGATAACTGTGCAATCCACTGAAAGCAAGCAACAAGAAGCGACTCAAAGGGATCTGCAGCAATATTTGTCATTTGCACGCGTCAGACGTGACACATCGGTTTTATCTGTGTAGTATCAGTGTATGGGCTGCCATTGGATTATGTGAAGCAGAATAGTTTCACTTCCATTCCCCCTCAGTGGGCATGCACCTGAAGTGTGGCATAATAGTGTTTTAACCTATTGACACCTGACCTAGAATTTCATAGGTGTCTCTGCCTCTCTTTTTGGTTTTAAAACATCCGCGCATTTTGTCATTTTTTATCAGCAAAGACTATCAAAAAGCGACAAATTTGGAGAACAAGCGATGATCAACATTCTGATTAATTATCAAGATTGAGCAAAATTGAAAAAAAAGAATCAGAAACGCCCCTACCATACATCATTGTATTTTCCCTTTCCATTATTTTTCGCGAGTATATCTTAAAATGTGAGAAGAAGAACGAGAAGTGGTAATTTGCACAATTATGAAATTATTTTTGAAGGTTCACAAATATCATCATGTCCATCCAGTTATGTTATCAACTGCATAGAGTGTTGACCCAATCCACTCGATGCTATGGATGCACTGACATACGTAATGTTGGACCAGCGAAAGATTGCAAGCCGAAAGAATGCGGACAAAAAATTGCGAAGTTGTCAGATGTTCTACATAAAATGCGGTCCATACATATTAACATATTTAAGATATAGAATTGTTCCGCTGAATTTGGCAATGTAGCTGGAAAACCCAGGCCGCAGGTAAACATCCGGTCGCTGATTGGTCCAAAACTCTTATCTTATCTGAAACTAGAATAACGTGCCGATGGCACGGTCATTTATAAACCTACTCCCATAGGCGTAGGCAGTTGGCAAATACTTTGAAAATATAATTTACTGTTTAGTGGTGATAATGGAATTCAAGCATGGGAAAGTTATTCACAGCCAGGCAAGGGAAATAATAGCAAACGTGATACGTGCTTGCGATGCAGAAGCGGCTAACAATACTTTCGTTTATCCACTGGTAGCTAGAAATGCAAGGGCGGCATATTATACGGGTGTTAGTGAACGAACTATAAGTAAAATTAGAAAAGAAGATAAAGACAGGCAAAATGCAACCTCCACACAGCCTTTAGCTTCTCCCGGAAAAAAGAGATCACGCCCTTCTGTGATCCAAAAAATTGATGGAGTCGATTTTTCCATTATTCGGAGAATGATAGAAAAATTTTACTGTGATTTTAAAGTGGTACCTACTTGTAGTAAACTTCTAATCAAACTGAAGGAAGAAATGGAATTTCCATTTGGTAAAGAATCGTTGAGGCTGCTTTTAAAAGCAAAAGGATTTTACTGGCGTAAATGCCACAACAAAAGGAAATTACTAATGGAAAGACCCAGTATTTTACATTGGCGATACAAGTATCTTAGGTCTATTAAAAAGTTCCGGGAAGAAGGAAGGCATATTATTTATTTGGACGAAACTTGGGTTGATAATGACCTCACTTTCAAGAAATGCTGGCAAAGCGAAGAAATTATGGGTGTCCTGAGCAATATAAGTTCTACAGGTAATAAAGTTTCTTTCACCTCGATTTTGCTTATTATACATTTTTCTCAATTTTGGAATATTCTTAATAAGTGCTCATTTAATTTGTCTAATTGAATACATAATCCCTTGCAAGTATTTTTTTCTCAAAAATATGTTTTTTATACATAGTGATTCAAAAAGGTGTTGGCAAACTTAAAATAACACTAAAATGAGGCTATTTATTCATTTCCAGGACGACTTATAATTGTTCATGCGGGTTCGCAAGATGGTTTTGTTCCTGGAGCCTGTCTCATTTTCAAGGCTGGCTGTGCCACTGGTGATTATCACGGTCAAATGAACCAAGAAAATTTCACGAAGTGGCTTACTGAAAAACTATTTCCTAACATTCCTCCTAATAGTATTATAATAATGGATAATGCACCTTACCATTCAGCTTTGGAAGACAAGCCTCCAACTAGATCTTCTCTAAAAAGAGACATCATCACGTGGTTGAGCAAAAAAGGTATAGAGCATGATCCTAATGCTAAAAAAATGGAGCTTTATGAAATAGCTTGTCTACATAGGCCACCATCTGATGAGAAAAATTATAAGATAGATAATTTAATAAGAAGTTTCGGACACACCCCACTTCGAACGCCACCCTATATGTGTCAGTTTAATCCCATAGAGATGATTTGGGCACAAGTAAAATTTTTCATTAGAAGCCATAATACAAGCGGCGAATTTACTATAAAAAAACTAGATGAAATTTCTAATAAGGCCATCGCTTCAGTAAGTGCCAGTGACTGGCAAAAGGTTATTGGACATGTTATAAAAATTGAAGATGAATATTGGGAAAAAGACAGTCTCATTCAAGAAATACAGGAAGAAATAATAATCAACATAGGAGGTGAAAGTGATAGCAATGACAGTTCCTCAGACAGTGATCATGACTCTAATCAGGATTGAAACTATACTAGATTGGCTACCTTTTAGAATTTTTAGATATTCATTTATTATACTATTGGTTTGTGGCTTTTAGTATCTCAGTAGAAAGTCTAATTCTATGTGTTGTTTATGGGTTATTTCATCAAGAAATTACTTTTTGTTTTCCTATATTTTTCTATTCAGTCAGATATTTTTGACTTGTTGTATTCTATTTTAGAAGAATGCATAATTTGTTTTGCTGTTCAATCATAATGCGTACATAGGAATATTACTTGTTGCCTAAAAAATATATTTATTTTGTTCTCAATATTCAGTGTTTGTGTATATTTATTTCTTATAATGTATGTTTGGTATCACGTCATTATGAATCGCAAAAAAATATTAATACTACCAGTTGTAATAAAATATAAATTCAATTAATAATTCAAGTCTCTCCGATCTCCGCCTATGACTCCATATAAAATCGTCTAATGGTAAGGTTTTTTCATCGCATTTCCCCCTTTCGTCCCTAGCAATCTTTGGCTGGTCGATCAGTATATTTTTAAAAGTTGAGTATCAGGAACTCGCCCTGATTCGGATACCAACACCAGTTACTCGACCGGTTAATCAGTGATTTATTTCAGTTACTATCAGTAATATTAAGATTATATTTCAGTTTTTGCAAGGTCTCTTTATTCTCAAAATTGTTTTACCTTTCCATGAAATTATGTATCAAAAAGAAAATCTTCTACTACTCTTCTGATATGCCTAATACCGGGTGTTTCAAATTCGACCCTCACCATTGGGATCTCAGAAACTGTAAGATACAAAGGGGGCAAAGTTGTGTATTTAGGTAATTAACAAAATGCCGCTTAGAAGGTTTCGAAATTCGAAGTACTTCCGGAGAGAGACGGATAAAACGAGTTTTCCCAAAATCGTTTTAATTTTTTCTTGACTTCATTTGTAGTGGGATTTCAAAATAGATTGCACATTAACATTGTCACTTTTTCTCTTCTACAAGATGGCATAATTAGAATTTCAATATGACATTGCAAAACCTGAGTTATTTTAAATAAACCAGAATTTTTTAGCAGCCCTTGAAATTATCAGATAGTCATTTGTTTCCCATACCAGATTCATCCCAAAATAATTTTGACTTTTTATTGACTTTATTTGAGATGGAATTCCAAAATAAATTGCATCTTGTCATTGTTACTTATTCTGCTTTACAAGATGGCATAGTTAAAATTTCAATTCGAGGTTTTTTCTTTCGATTTCCATCACTAACCTTGTTTTTTTTCATATGGACGTTATTTTGGAATTTCGTACATCTAAATGGATTTTCCAGTCCTAAATTCAGTGATGTATTACCTTAGTTGGCCATGAATTTATTAATGAATGAAAATCATAAGGAAATAAGGTATGATAAAATCTGGTCACAAAGTGAGATGGTAGTAACAGTAGAAATATCATGAATAAGCAGAGGTAAATCATAGCAGATGACTGACCCTTCTCTGTACATCAGTCATTGCTTGACTTATCTCCCTTCTTCTCATTCTTCTAAACAAGTATGTTCAATTTGAGGTCTGGCCTTGTATTCAAAACAAATGACTATCTGATGATTTCAAGGCCTACCTAGGAACTTCCGTCTTTCTGGAATAACTAAGGCTTGGCAATGTCAATGTATGACTACAGAGTATATTATACATTTTTGGAATCAAAAACAGAAATCCTCTATTTATCTACGCAAAAATCCAATCTGGCATCCATAAGAAAAAATATAATATATAAATATAATAAAATTGAATAATACGAGTTGTTTGCGACATGTGATCGAAACTTTAATTGCGTATTAAAGTACATTCAATACCATTACATTGTAAAAATTACGCCATTCAAATGGCCTCCTCGGCTTCGTTTACAGAACTCGATCCGAGAGGTCCAATTTTGTAAAACTCTGCCGCATAAGTCGGCCTGGATCTCACCTATGGTTTGAATGATGTTGTTCTCCAGTTGGTGAACTGTTGTTAGTTTGTTGCCGTAAACCAGCGACTTAAAGTAACCCCAGAGAAAAAAGTCTAAGGGCGTTAGCGAAAGTCGCACGATCTTAGTGGCTATTCCACATCGCCTCTTCTGGAAATAACGTGTCCTGGAAACTTATCTTGCAACAGCAATGTAATGGCCGATGTGTGACACGTTGCACCGCCTTGTTGGAACCACATGTCGTTCAGGTCCATATCGTTCTATTGAGGCCATAAAAAATCGGTTATCATGATCCGATACCGGGCGCCGTTGACAGTCACCGTCTAGCCATTCTTGTTTCAGAAAATGTACTGTCCAATGACGCCGCCTGACCAAAACCCACACAAAACAGTAATTTTTTTCCGGATGCAGCGAAAGTACGATGCGCTTACTGGTCTTGGGGCTTCAGTTCTTGCGTCAACTGTATCTTATATGGATACCTGACCAAGTCTTTTCGTAAAATTCTCGAGGTCGCAGAAAGGCCAATTGCTTGTGCACAACCCGGAATCCAAAGGCTTGGGTCTTCAGCTACACTTTCGGCAACAACAACAATATTCTCGCTTGACCATTCGTTTCTGCGTCTTACAGGAACTGCTCGATGTGCAACCGAACCGTCTTGCTTGAATTTGGCGATAATTCGTTGAACTGTTCGCTCCGTTGGACGATTATTTCGGCCGTAAATATTTCGTAGCTCGCGAAAAGTTTGACGAATAGAACACGAATTTTTATAATAAATTTTAACAATATTGCTACGCGTTCTTGCACACTGTAGCGCTCCATGGTAAAATGGTGACTATGACAGAACACAGAACACAAATATCGAGGAATGATAACCGTGCCACCTGAAACGTCAGAGCAAGATGTTGCGAAATTTCGGACATAGCTATTGAAAAACCCTTTAGTTGATGCTGGAAGACAAGAGACGAAACGTCATATCACGTCATATTATAACTTTAATCATATCATCTTGTAGAGGAATTATTCAGTGCAATTTATTTTTAAATCCCTCTACAAATAAAGTCAGGGAACATTTTTTTTGGGAGAATTCTGTTTTCTCTGTCTCTCCGCAAGTAGTTTGAATTTTGAAACTTTCTAAGTGGCATTGTGTTTGTTACCTACAAACGCAATTTTACCCCCATTTAAGCTACTTCGTAACTCGTATTGTTTCTTAGATCCCAATGGTGAAGGTCGAATGTGAAACACGTGGTATACGCGAAATCACTTGGGATCTAATTGAATTGGGGCTCTAAAGAAACAGTTTCCTGTTATAAAGCTACTGATGTGTATAAATTTGTAGTGTTTTCTGAATGATTGTTCGGGGGTAATATTTTTAGAAATTTTGTTATATGAATGTTTAGACGTGAAACTACTAAGAGTATGTTTCTGACACAAAAATCGGACACTCAGTAGAATTCAACAGCCACAATAATGGATTAAAATAGTTACTGTATTTTGACACTACATTTTTGAAAAATTTTGGTTTTATCTAAGCTTCACTCTTTCACCTTACAAGAGAAACACGTTTTTGAGACAATATTAACAAGATAGTCAGGTAATTTTAGACTTAATCTAACAGAACTTTCAGTCATAATCGGATGCCTTACATTCAAAATGTATATACTTAACATGTCAAACCTATATTTTTGTTTAAGGTAGAAATCACTCCCTATGCTGCGCAAATTTCTAAAAAATGCTTCTCAAAATCGCTTTTAACCTCATAACCATTACTAAGAAACAAAATTAAAACGGCTTAATGTTGTGACGTGATCTATTCAAATTTGGGAACATTACATATTAGTAAAGGGATCCTTTAAACAAAGCTGTAAACTCCTAATTCACCTTACTTCATGACTTTTTCCGTATTTTTTTTTTACTTTGATGTTTTTTACTGTTGAAAAGAAATATGAACAAATAAGAATGCAAAAGGCCAATTACAATGTGGTACTGAACTGAAATTTAAACATTTACAGTACTTGCACCATACACCTCAAGGAAAAAGCATGTAGAATTAACACTTTGCATATAAAAAAATAAGCTTATGATTCTAACTTTGGCTATTTGTTAATAGTACAATAATTTCTTTGAAAACATATCTGGAGGTGTGAAAAGAGATATCTGCTTAGACATTGCACTTCCCATGTGCAATTCATTGATTTACACAAGTTGTGTGCTTTGCGTTCTGACCGAGAAATTTCCCGGCGGAGTAATTCAATACCGGCAAAACTGAATACTCGGTAAAATGCGTCGAGTCGACCGAGTAGCGGTTACAAACCGAGAACTCGGTGCATCCCTATATGATGCTATTTTTTTGTTGCAGTGACGCAATCGTAAACCAAGTGTTGGACGAGCTGGGTCTTCAACTAGGCGACACCCTGTCAGGTTTACCAGCTGCGGGCAATGCATTGCCTGCATCCGGTCAGAAGCAACCGGCTGCTGCGGCTGCTGCAGCTGCAACTACTGGTGGCAACAATGGAGGAGGACTGTCAGATGCTGATGCAGACCTGCAGGCCAGGCTAGACAACCTGAGAAGAGAATAGGTGTTATGTGAGATAGAGACGGATATCCTCCAAGCTTGTTTTTTAATTCACAATATAAGAGAGTTGTGCCAATCAGACACCTCTTGTCCAAAATGTACATCCCTGAATATTCTTTTTAAATTAGTTCCAGACGTGTGAGAGCCATTGTTGTGCTTTCTATGCATTGACTTTTTATTATGAGAAATGAGAACCGCCTAAAGCTCAGATGATTCTGATCAGAAACCGCCTTTCATTTCACCTTCCTTACATGGTTAACGGATAAAGCCGCCTAGTCAAAAACATTTCAATCAAATTTAAACTACACCACAATAAGAGCGGGTCGGTAATCCTTGTGATATGGACTTTTTTTATTGTGTGTAGATATGTTAATCATCTGTTTTATTGTCCCTCTGAACAGTAAAAAATAATGAAACAATGTTTCCTGTTTGACCCTTACGAAATCTTTTTTCAACTCCATAATTTGGGGTGGACTGTCCGTCTCAAGCAAACAGGCGAGTGTGATAAAAAATATGCATTAAATGCGCAGCAGTGTTGTATTATAGTGTAATGTACTGCTTTTAATATATGAACATACTTTTAAGTTATATTTTTATGCACTACTGCAAATATTAGTAACGTTCCATTATGTTATTTTTTGAATAAACATTACAGCAAAACATTTTCTCATTACAGTAATTACTGGTCTTCATTACATGATGATCCCCGCCGAAATTCCACTACATTTTTTAATCGACTAGATTGAATGAGCCAGTCCAAGAGACGAGAGACTGGCACAATAAGTTTCAAGAGTAAAAGAAGGAAACCTAAATACCGTAGCACTGCGACTGCTATAAGGAACTAAACACGCCTTGTTAATACAATTTTTGAACTGTCTTAGGATAGCAGAACTGAGAAGAACTTCATCAGGCATATTGTTCCACAATCTCGAAACCCTAGGAACAAAGGTGCGGTTGCAGTATCTAGCTCTTGATGGACGAAGTTCCACAGAGATGGGATGCAGCCCAGAAGCCTGGATGGTAGTTCTGGCACGCTGAACGCGCGGCGGTTTCATGGAGAAGAGCTCTGAGGAGCAAAGCCCGTTGAGATAACGGTAGAAAATGTTTCGAGGCTGTCGGTTGGAGAAGTATTAACCATTCGAACAGCCCTCCTCTAAGCAGCAGTTAGTCAGAGCGGCTGCACTCCAAACATGTGAGTGCTACTCGAGACAGACTGAGTAGGTTATGCGGAGATCACTAAATATCCTAGCTTTTTCCCAGCAGCTGTTTATATTAACGACGTGTTCGTGCCAGAAGTCATCAGTATCTGGACTCCGACCACCCGAAATGAATGGTTCTTGGCAGTACTCGGCTATCCATCTAAACGGGCGAGGTTATTACGTAAAATACCATAATGTCAAAAACGTCAAGTGGGTTGACTCTGCACTTCCTACGCATTACTGCCATCAGTTTATACAGGATTGTTTGGTATAAGTTAGTCACAAAAAATTAAATGCTTAAAATCAGACAAACAAGCTCATATGCAATTAGTTCATAGTCGCCAGCTATTTGATAATGCTAACGCTAGTTTCTTCCCTGCTCTAAGTATCGACTATCTGGCAACGCTGCAGAACCACACCAGTCAAACATGTCGTAAGCGCCAGCCACGATTCTATTCTCGAGTATGAGGTCCCGGTGATGCACTTAAACAGAGACGGAGTATGAGTTGTCATCACGTCGTTCCGACTGAATGCGAAAACGTCAGTAACGAAGTTTGAGCGAGTTTTCTTTTATTTTTGCTCCTACCTCCGCCGTCACTGGATCGATTTTCAAAAACTACATATGTTTGTCGTCCTTGGAAAGTAGTAACCTTGTGGGAAAATTTTATCGAAAGTTATAGGCGGTCCAAGGATTAGCGGACAGATAGACCGACGCGACGTATTTTCGTGACATGTTTTTTCGTGATGTTCATGTCATATAATATCCAAAAACCATAATATACATTTTCTAAACTTTTCGCTATTACAGTCTAGTTGCGCAGGAAGTAAACATCGATAAACCGACAACTCCTGCACTAGATAACCGCTAGTTCGTCCACTACAAGCAGAGTGTTGCTGGACCAACCGATTTGTCGGTATTTCTACCTAAATGAAACCCCACTTACCAATAACGTCCTCATTTTCAACGGTTTTTTTAAAATAACTCAAATATTTCGAGATTTTTGACAGCAAAAGAAAAAGCTGAAAAAATGAATTCTATGTCTAGTCTATGTAGTTCTATGTCCAATAACAATCATACGCGTATGCGTACACTTAGGGATTTGGGGTGTTCATAATTATATACACATATCCCTTACTTTGCTTTCCGTGTATTGGTTTTTGTGCGTCCAACAGGTACAGGCTGGTAAATCGTCTTTATCGCATCACCGGACAAGCAATAAGGAAACTGAATCTCGGCTGTTTGTTCATCGATAAGAGAAATTATCCACGTAGAGATGAAGGAATATCTCCCTCATACAGTGGAAGTGTCTACACCAAGGTCCAACAGCTGCTAGCAGAAGATCAAGGTGCTCAGAACCTTCTTACAACCCCCCTGTAGAGAACAGACAAACCGACGTCGAGACCATGGACGTAACATTCAGGCACAAGACCGTGAGACCGGTGCTCAGACAATAAGGCAAGTGCTCTTGTCGCTCGACATCAACAAAGCTTGTAGTCCAGACTTGAATGCTGCCGTTGTATTGAAGAGGTGTGTAGCGGAGTTAGCTCCAGTTCTTTCGCGCCTCTTCCAGATATTTACGAATCCGGCACCTTCCCTAAAAACTGGAAATTTTCTCATGACCAAACTATTCTAAAATAAGGATCCAAGACCAACCCTTACAGGCATATAGCTCTGCTTTCTCTTATAAGTAAGGTGATTGAGAGGTGCATAAATTGCGAGCTTCTGGACTACCTCGAACGTCACTGCTTGATTAGCAACAGGCAGTATCGTTTCCGACACCAGCGATCCACAGGGGACCTCCTAGCTTACGTCACGCAATTGTTGAGTAATCAGTAAACGCATCCAGTCTTATGGTGAGGCTCATGTCGTTGCTCTTGATATCACGAAAGCGTTCGATCGCTATAGCACGCTGCCCTCTTATGCAAACTTACATCCTATGGCCTCCCAGAGAAGCTTTGCAGATAGGTGGCTGACTTTCTCTCTCACCGAAAGATGTCCGTCATAATTGACGGGTACTCCTCTCCATCCCACAAGGTCAACGCGGGTGTTCCATAGGGATCGGTGTTGGACCCGACATTGTTCCTTTTACATATCAACGACCTCCTTTCCTATACGATCAACTCAGTCCACAGCGTTGCTGATGACAGCAACAATCTTGTACACTTTAATGCTTCCAAAACATAGTACATTAACGAACAAAAAGTGTCCTAGCGCTCATCCGGTTTCGATGAATGGCCGAGTTCTGCCAAAGAGCCGTTGATTTCGGCTGGTTGGAGTCCAGATTACCGAGGACTTGACCTGGCACATCTTGTCAATAGCGGCAACTGCTGGGAAAAAGCTAGACTATTTGTTTAGCGCTAGGAAGTACTTTTCTCCTTATGAACACTCTATACAAGGCCCAGATAGTCTCGAGTGTTGGGGTGCTGCCGCCTTGTCCAGAGGAGGGCTGTCCGACTGATCGATGACTCTTCTCTAACAAATAGACTGGGGACCCTTTCGCACCGTCGGCGATCTAGCTCTCTTATATCGCTACTCTAAAGGGCTTTGCTCCTCAGAGCTCTCATTTAGACTTTTGCCTGCGGGGTTGCTTCGGTATGAAAAAATACTACAGTTGATCGAAAGCTTTCGTGTTGTTAAGAGCCACCACACAACGACATGTGACTGGTTGATATCTAAAACGTACTCGAAAGATCTGGAGCTAGCTCCGCTGCACATCTCTTCGGTGCAATAGCAGGAATCAAATCAGGACCAGAAGCTTTGTTGATGTCGAGCGACAAGAGCACTTGCCTTATTGTCTGAAGGTTACTTCCCGCATAGCGTAGGGAATCGACGACAAATGAGCATTGGGAAGGACGTCCATGGTGGAGTGGGCATCAAAAACTTTGGCAGACACTTTCTCCTTAGCATTGAAGTTGGTTACAATAGTCCCATCTTAGCACAAAAGTGGGGGAAGGCTACCTTCTGTGAAGTTACCTCCAATCAGCCTTGCCAGCATCCAGGCAAACTAACTGCCATTACGCTACAACACTCTGTGTCTGACTTTTGCATCATGCTGGTCTTTGGCATTACGAACAAGGAAGCCCACAATGTCAAATTTTGCAGCCTAGACGAGTTCCTGTTGTCATACCCGGTTCTGATTGAAACACGACTTCTACAACACCGTGGTCCGTGTTGCACACGGTAGACAGGATAGCAGTGCTGTAAGGGAGAGGATGTGTGGTCAGCAAGAGATCTAGCAGACTACTGACGTATGATGAAACGCGCACTAGCTATATCAGTCCTTGGCTAATGGCAAAGTACATTATGTGTACTAAAGTCACGAAGGATTACTTATAAAGCTGGTGATTAATGTTCAAATAACCATAGAGACAGTGAACAAAAAAAATGGTTGAAGTTGAGCTGAAGCCACAGAATGTATTTCCGGCCTGATTTCGAATAGACTTTTCTAGAGCAGGAGAGAAAGCCGCGAACAAAGGCCACAATTTTAGCATTCCTTCTACAATTGGAGTAAACCTCTTATATCGGAAAAGTCAAATGGTTAGTTGGCGCTGAATCAGAGATGTTGGTCTCCACTAACAAAAGCGTTAAAAAAGCAACAATTCACTTTATTTGCACTTAGTAGCATTTCAAACTTTAACAGTTTCAGGCAGTCCACAAAAGTACCGCAAACTATGATATTTACATTTTTAAACAAATGCATCACTAAACCTTAAGGTGAAATTTATGTACAAACAAATCTAATAATAAAAAAATAGCTTGATGTAAAAATCTAATAAAAAAAATTAACATGATTGGAAAATAACATGTAAATATACAAAAAAGCATTGTAATGATTCTTTAAATACTCTGATTAAACCAATATTTTCAAGCATCCTATTATCTGTGATCACAGCTTTCATAAAAAAACATGAAACTCATAATTGAGTAGCATAAACGACACTGTTTGCTCAGTATGTATTATGAATAAATTTAATTGTGTCTCTGTATGTTTCGTATGCTCAAGAATATGAGAAAAACAGAATATACAAACTTGACCATTAAAATGTGAAATAATTTACAACATAATTATAATGATCTAGGATGACTTATTTTCATCTGGTACTATCAAAATCGAATGTTTCTTCAGCAAAGCTTTTAACAATCTATTATCTTTTTCTAATTCTATATTCTTCTGGTGTTCATACTCCAACCTTTCTAGTGCTTCTTTATGCTCTCTCAGTAGATCTTCATATTTTTCATGGATGTGCTTCAAGTCTGTGATGTAGTCGCAGGCTTTAGCTAGTATGCCGCCTGTAAGAAAAGATTTTTTAGAAAACAAATAATGGGGAAAATCTGAAAAGCTAGAAGAGGATGGCGCTAGTTAGAGGTCACGTCTAAGGTTCTAAACAGCTCAAGGCGAGGTTCGCAGGGAATTTAAGAAGAAGGAAATAGAATCACTAGTTCGAAATTCAAATTTTGTCCTAATATCAAATACCCTGCGAAGCACGCGTTAATCATATTTGTCTTTTTCCCATTTACTTTTAATAGTTTGGCCTCCAACCACCTTCTAGCGGTAGCAATATTGGACATGGCTGCCATTACTGGTTGTACACCTTTTTCAAAACACAGATCATGTCAAGTCACTCTGTGAATATGACATCATTGATAGATTCAAAGCAATGCGTTTTGAAGCTGAATATGGAGACTGGTAAGTCACCATCTTGATAAGAAATATAGTTCTTATTTATACAAAAAAGTACAAGTAATTTTCTGCACCTTTTGACTGCCCATCATAATGCCCTGAACCCTTGATGTCATTTGGAGATTCTGGTATAATGCTTGCTAATTTGGTGATCCAGTTGTTTATTTTATCCCTCCGTCGTCTTTCTACTTCGTTGTGTGTTGCCCTCCGCCGTTCATCCCTCTAGAAGAAAAACATTTTTACAGGTGGAAAAACGTTGTAAGTCCCAATTCATAGTTAATTTACTTTGGTTCTAATCATATTCTGACGTTAGCACGATAACGACTGGTTCTCAATGACGTAAGCGTTTTACCGACAATGAAATTTTGGTCACAACATAGCTCAGCTGGTGGGAACAGCATGTATAGTCACACGGGCCTCATGGAAACGTCCAACTTACGATGCGGGACTTTGTATCAACGAGACAAAGGTTGTTTGCTAAATTCCATCAAATAAAACGGACGTTTTTGTTGCTAGAAAACTAGGAATGCTATGATAATTCTTTGTTTTGCTATATATTGGAATATCATACGTGGTCGATGGTTTTCTAGGAAGAGCATATCCTCCAGGATAACAGCCATACATATACACTATGTTACAACGAGTATTACACAGCTCTGGCATCATAGGGAGTGTAAATGTCAGGAGCGAGTGTTATCTGGTGAGCATATATTAATCAATGACTTTATCGATCCGAATAGTGTGGGTCAGGGAGTCAAGTTACAGATCAAATCTCTTCTTTAGGGCAGTGTTGCCATTTACAGTATGTATGATGACCAGCTATGTAATGCTGGTGGTAACATATGGTACGACCATTAGGAGGGTCATGTGATATTCATTAGTAATAATTCAACATATCTATCATATAAAATGAACCACAATAAAAACTCTGGTCGCATGCGAAGAAAAAGATGTGTTAGTATATTGGTACTCAAAGCTGTAAATGCAAAAAGTTTTGGACTGGATAAACTTTGAGCGTTACCATGGAGTTTTTTGTTATTTAATAATAATATAATAATAACAATAGGGTTTATTTGCAAAGCAGAAAAATACAAAGAGAAAAAAATCAAAATGAAGAAACAACATGAATTCCCTGCAAAAGGGACTAGTAAACAGACGAGCTGCTCAAAGTACTAGCCCAACAAACAAAGTTACAACAGAGGAGTTCTTAAACAAATTATATAATAATAAATAATAATTACAAACCTCAAAAAATATATGTATATAAAGAAATTATATGAATAAATATAATTTTACGAAAACGGTCAAATCATTTTAGGCAGATTTAACAAAAAAAAAACATGAACATATAAAAAGGAAAGGAACAATATAAAGTAAACACTACAATTCATCTAATAGAAATTTTCTGTAACTTCTTTTAAAAGCTGACACAGACTTAAGGTTTATGGGGACATGATTGTACAAGTGATAAAATGAGAAAAACATCTGTTAAACATAGATGTACGATGACGTGGTTGGGAAATTCCGATACCGAACATTGATATTGTGAACATTTCAAGGTTGACCTAAGCTAGATCAAAATTTATTAAACTGACTGAAATTCTTAAAAGGCCTAGGGTACTCGGATAATTAATATAACATTTACGTATGCTTTTGTAAGAATCTTTTTCCGGTATTATTTCAATTTCCACTCAAAGGAAATATTTAAATAACTGATCATATGAATCTGGAAAAGCACTGGAGTAAATCCTCCACATACTGCAAAATATTTTCTCGAATGTTGACATATCCGTTTTCTTTGTGTATTGTTGTTTTCTCACATTATTTAATTAATCATAAGAAACTAATTATACAAATTACAAAAAGGGACTTATGATATCTTAGAAGCATAAAAACGTTACTGTGAAAATGCAGTGCTATATTTCGTTGCTGATACTTAGTTTTCGGCGTATTCGAGCGCTTTATATGGAAAATTAATGTCTGTGACTGTGCTCGTTAGCAACTCATCAGTGCAGTATAGGTCTAGTCTTTGAGGCAGACGAATGGGAAGCAAGCAAAGTTGGTAGGGTCTTTTGAAAAACTCAAAAAATCGTGAAAATCTCACTATCAACACCTAGTTCAGCCTGTGACTATGCATATGGCACAGAACGTCGAGCAGTTATGAAGCAGAGACGTAGGGGTCTTCTGTTATCTTCATCGTGTGGGATGAGGATGAAAATCAACTTGGCAAATCATTGGTAGGTGGCGATCTTTACATTTTCACCTACTTGCTTTGAGTTTTTCAAAAGACCATACCCACTTTGTGTGCTTCCCGTTCGCCTGTCTCTAGACCTATACCACACTGATGAGTTGCTAACCAGCACGAAACAGCGCGGTCTGCGGTTGGTCATGGTTCCAGAGACGGAAAGCACACGTCCATTTCAGCCTATGTCCATTTATACATATATGCATATGAAGTCATTGCTATGTGCATAGCGCAGAACGACGGCGACGAGCAGTTTGAGCCAGAGACGAAAGAGGTTATCTGCCATTTCCCAGTTCTACTAACCTTAGACAGTTCAAAAATCGGATTAACAAAGTTTATTTGGGATCCTCATAGTAGCCGCGGTATCCTGACATTTAGGCTTCTGCCTGCGCGGTTCCTTCAGTATAAAAAAATCTTCATCGAATGAGACGAGGATAAAAATCACCTTGGCAAACCATTAGTAGGTGGCGATCGTCAGACTTTCACATACTTGCGCACACAGCTAATAGTTACTGAGAGTGTGAAAGTATTATTCTTAGGAAGAAAACTAACATTGTAATAATACCTTTTTTATACTGGACACAATACTGCTGTTTGATTCAATGATAGAGTCTGTGATGGACGACCTTGGAGCAATAGCTCTCGTGCCAGTTTGAGTTCCAAACACTTCAGCTGCATTTCCAATCACATATAGTTGTCCGTTAATATTGCTTGTCAATACTTGAGGCACAGGCGATGCATTGGAATACCCAGTGGCTCCCGTTGTCACAATATGAGGCACTGCTGCTTCAACGTTGGGATCGTCTACTTGTACTACTCTGTATGTTATCATGCCTGAACACAAGAAAATGTTGAAATTATCAAATCTGACTATATTTAGCCAAAAGTTGATCCTCTGATTCGAAAGTTACACATAAGTGAATTAATAGAATAAATCATCTCCAATGATGCGATGAACATCTTGCACAGATTCGACCTACCAGTACTTTATATGTAAGGTCCAACCGAAGCTTCAGTTTTAGCCATATTGTGCCAATCTGTACTCACGAGAAGTTTTGTGGGAAGGGAGATTGGCATATTTATATGACTAATAATAACATCTTTATTGGGCAAAGTTCAGCATAAGCTATTCTACCATTTAACCTGTTAAATATCTATCCACAAAATAATAAAAATACAATATACACTAAAAATGCAGTGGTTTCAACATAAAAATGAATTGAGTAAAATAAATCAAGATTGGATAAAAGTATAACATTCTACATACACAGAATGATGTTAATGCATATATTATAAGCAGAAGTCAGAAATAGATTTATGTCAATGATTGCTCAAAAATGATTTTACTTAAATACTTTTTGAAATTCTCGAAATTTAAAGCTTTAGTATCAGAGGATAAAGCATTGTACATGATAGTAGCATTATAAGTAAAATATTTGGTGTTCTGTGAGGAGCCATTGTCAAATATTCAACTACGATAACAGGGCAGCCAGTTTAATATCTGTTGTTGACATGCTACAGTTCTTGGCTCTGATAATTCTTCATTAACAGTAATGGCACCGCCTTCATAATTTGTTTCAAAACTATGCTGATCTACTGATTTTTTTTTTCACCAAAACTAGAACTGTATGGGACCCATGCACTATTTATGTTTTCGTAGAAATGCGAATTTCATGTGACATGTCAACAACTGTCAAACTGAGGGCTTGACTGGGATCAACTTGTAGTATGAACTTTCATAATGATTATGAGATCTTGGAGACAAATAAGTCATAGACTTGCTTCTTCTACCTAGTCTAAATTTGTTGGCCTGAGTAGGTATAGAAAATAAGTTTGGAGCAATGAACATTTAAATACCAATAATTTAATCAATTTTAGATGTCATATATTCATGCAAAAAATTGAAAAATAAATAAAAAAAATGTCTTCCTTCCCCCACAAGTGGATAAAAGGGTAACATAACATTTTTTTAAAAATTGCTTTTTTTGCATTAAACTAACCTCAAGGAGCGATTCTTTCATTTTGTGATTACTTTATTGCAAAAACAAGATGATAAACTAATCAAACTAAATATAAACTAAATATTTAAAGTGTCAATAAAGTAAATAGTAAATTTTCTCCATGATTTTGTTCCATGACACCTTTATGCACTTGAGTCTTCAATTATTTTACATGTTAAATGTTATAATGCCAACAAATTGAGTGTAAATGTGTAGGTAACCTTAATTTCTATTCCAATTGCGTAAACAATGGCACAATAGTGTCACAGATTTCATTATCAGGATGCCATGAATGTACCATTTCAGAAATTTCCAGTTTGCTAGTGAAAATAAACCTTATTCTAAATTTTTTCAGGTCTTGATATACTTTCACTCACTTGGTATTTTTTTTAGTCTGGACGTAACAGAACTTAATAAGATTCAGGAATACATACTCATCAAATTATTTTCATGTTTTATCTAATTGTAACAAGTTTCAAATCAATACTACATATTAAAATGGAAACTTATAAGAAGTGGAGCTGCAGACACATACTTTCATTATTCAGTATTAAACCAGCCTACTGCTTCCGCCCAAGGTTGTCAGTTTCAGATTTGGCCAAAAGCTGACCTTCAGTGGGACTATATTCATACATGGTGGTAGGAGATTCCATAGTACTTAACATTTAAAGAGTATTTACAGGGACATCCACAAAGCTTTTTAATGAGCTCATTCAGTAAACAATTGCAATTCAGTGTTTAATATTGTCGGTGTCAGTTTAAGCATGTACTCTAAGGTTTGAGTGATTCAAAAAATATCAAAAACACATAAATACATACACCCAGAGAGAAATTTTGGGGACTGCAACAGTGTTTCTAAAAGAAATACTATGATTAATGCGAAAGGACAGTTCCCTATGAGAATTTCAGCTTGTCATGCTCAGCACATTATTATATAGGCTATGTATTTTTTTTAATACATTCAATTTCTTGCATATATCTATATGAAGTAAATTATAGGACAGCATTTTGCTTATTAGTTGATGTGGGTTTCCTAATAAAGTTGCTAGTGTTTACCTTCCTGAGGTCGCACAGTATATTGTACTTCCGGTTCAGAGGTCTCCAAAAGGGTCTGGGGAGACAAGTGATCTACATTTCCATCTTCATCACTGTCCATTATACCCTCTTTTATGTGAATTTCATCGATTTCTTTTACTTCTATGGTCTCCCTAAAAATCAATGTTCGAATGTTTTAATCCACGTCATGCACATGCTACCACTATTGTTATTGTTGTTATATTAATCGGTTGATAACAACAATGATTAATTGTGCCTCTGACGACGTTCTGTTTGACCTTGCGTGAGGTTGGAGTTACGTAACTTTCTTGAAAAGGTGCTGTGGAATTTCTGCAGGCTTACCCTTCTACTAGAGGATCCAAGATATCCATGGAAAGGTTTTTGGGTTCAAATTTTTTGAATTTTCCTTCAATTTTGGTCACGGGGCCAAATTTGGGGTCATGTGACGCGACTGTGCTACAGAAACTGATACGCATGCGTCATCTGCATATATTTGACGTCAAATCGAGATTAAAAAAAAAAATTGGCAGTTAAGTTCAAGTTGAAACCTAACCAATTATTTTAGCAAAACTTTTGACATCCAATCTAAACTTTCATTACATATTTATAATAAATGCTATTTTCTATTTGACATCTTATCCTGCAATTAAAAATTTATAATTTATGGCAGACTGACGGCTTCATTTGACAGCAAAGAAAATTACCACAGGAAAATATTTGATTTGAAGACATTATAGATAACTATTTATTAACAGATGTGCCTGGTTTGCTTGTTATTCTGAATTCTCATCAATTTTTTGCATATTGTTAATAAAGCTTAGCTTAAATATATTTTACACTTAAAGTTAGATAACCACGGTTACACAGGTCTACATATGATGCTCTATAGTCGCCGGTGATAATATCTGAATATTCAAGCAGAAATTCAAAGAAATAGATGAAAAGTTAAATTTTGAATTTGCATAACATATATTATTGACATATCAAACAATTGATATATTACAGATTATATTATCTGGAAATATGTTCTTAAAAACTAATGTGTAGTTTATCCTTTCAATGTGAGATGGCAGAACTATGATGACATAAGACAAAAGACATACTTAACTGTCATTTATTCTCCAAAAATACCAAAAGAAAATGTTTATAAACGTTTTTTCCAAAGCAGATCTTCGGTGAATGTTTATTAATTTCACATGCGTTGTACCTGGTATGTTGCTACGATAAGTGATTAAATTGGCTTCGATACTAAGTTGCTTCATTTAGGATCAGTTTTTCTACAAGGTTCATAAAAAATGGATCAGATGCTTCCCAGCCCTGGGTTTAGCATACCCAGTATAGGTATGTTCAATATCGAATTTCATATAGATTCTTTAATAGTAATAATAAGTTAACAATAATTTTTAATCTGGAACAAAATTAGCTTCAATATTATACTACTGAAGCTTGGACATTTTCTATCTGCATGAGACACTCTTGGTAGAGTACCCTTAATTAACAGGCTTAATAACTACAGATATTTAGGCCCGTATCGTCAGTCGTCCCTACAGTAATTGTAGGGCGCGTTTATGGTCTCCTTGATTGTCATACTTCTGTCTCTCCTTCTAGATTACACAGATGTTTTCTTTTTAAATTGTAGGAAATTTCAGGCTGATAAAACATGATATAACTCAAAAGCAAGCACAATTTGATGCAAATAGATGTTTGTGACATAACCTCAAAATAGAGTTCTGACATGGAGAAGTAGAAAACTATGACAATCAAGGAGGCCATAAAGGCGCCCTACAATTGTAGGGACGACTGACGATATGGGCCTTACAGGCCTAAGTCCTACTATATTAGTTTTATAAATGTTTGTGAATCCCTTTCATTTGGAAAATGGTTGCAACATGAAATATCACTATTTCTTTAACTTTTTGTCTGTACTCTGCATAGAATCCATAATTATTTTTCAAACCTAGAAAATGTTAATGTACAAATTAAAGTATCGTCTCCTAAATGCTTTGTGTTGCTTTGGACATGATTTTTACATTATCTCAGCTTACATGCCTAGCATTAGATAAGATTTTGAATACACTATAAGATCTGCTACCACTAGATCATATAAAAACTTTCTTGGGTCTGAACCAATGTACAATTAAAATCTACATTGTTCTTAGGTAACTTGGTAGATCTAATTAGTGACACCACTTTATTGAGTTGCATTGTATAATTAATCCAGCCCTCTTCAGTCACAGTCCAAATTGCTATTTTGTGTAATGTATCGTGCCTGTTCATCTGTTTATCTATTTCTAAGTTCCACCACAATTTATTTCCACATGATCCTTTTGTATTCACTGTTTTTTCACATACTAACCCCCCATATGAACTAATAAACAGTCAGTTAAAATCTGGCAGCCACTTTATATCTATAAGTTTATTTTGTAAGTCTGGTACATTCAAGTTTTTATAATTTCTATATGTTATTACTGACTCATCTATGTGATGTTGATAAGTGACACATGTATAACTGAATGATTAGTAATTTTGGGTATGTGCCACACTACATGCTTCAATTTATTATTTGTAAGAATTAAGGTCAATTTTTGTTGCTGATATAGGTGTTGTAATACATGTATAGCAGTCTACTAACTCATAAATCCCACAACTATTTATTAAGTTATTTAGCTTGCTTTTGTGTCCTTTGTTGATTGATACATATCTTGATAGTTAATTTTTTGCTCTAGTTCTTGATATATTCTTTTGCATGCAGTACAATTTCTATCATCAACATGCTGATCAAAACTCACACTTGGTATTTTCAAGACATCAGCTGAATATTTACAATTTGAACACTTCAACTTCATTTGGTTGGCATTCCTCAATTCTGTGCCTACCTGCACATTTCCTACTTCCTACAAATAACACTTGCTGCCTTACATTCATTACCAAAATGCCAAAATATATAGCATTTGAAACACTGTATGACTTTTATGTGGTCACCAAAATTTGAAGGACTTCCAACCAATCGACCATCTACCTTTGTTATATTAGTTTATATTAGATATGTTTTTTATTCTACTTCTAGAATAACATTTTCTTTTCTGTGTTTTCTATCTATAATGTTTGACAACTGATACGTTTTGTTGATTGTCTCTGTATTTATGGCATTTTGTAGAACATTATTGTCTATAAAATCTTCCTCATTGCTTATTGTCTATAAAAGAGTTTTTCTGATATATTTATCATTTTTATCTTTGGGTTTATCACTGCACCAAGGGTCCTGTTTCTACTTTTTATCAATGTAACAAACTTAAATGGGGTACTTTGCTGTTCGCTGACGACTTACGAGTATTTCATCAAATTAATAACATTAATCATTAAAAACATCTACAATCTCAACTTGATAACCTCCAGTGATGGTGTAATTTGAATAGGCTTCAATTAATGGTTTGTTCATACAGCCTGTTTGCTGACAATCAGCAAATTGATAGACGGCGACAAGTCATGACCTAGTTTACGCAGTTAGCTGTTACTGACACGTCGCTGACTATCAATTGCGTACAGGAGAACGTTACGAGTTGGCTGAGGGAGGTCAGACCGATTACCGACAACTAATCCGCTGTTTGTACAGAAACTTCTGACTGTTTGATGAGTGTCAAATCAGTCAGCAGACAATTTTCCAGTAAATTGTCAGAGCTCGAAATCAAGTACAATAATTATTCGAATGTACAATTTTTTAGAATGAAGTAGACAATTTTGAAAAAGTTGGGGGTTCATTTGCTGTAAACCAGAATGATCTAGGATTTTTAGATAAGAAAACATGAACACTTTCTAGAAAAAATAACAGCACCCAAAAATGTCAAGTAAATTTACTCAGTAATTACCATTCAATTCTCATATATAAAGTATAAACATCAATTCGAAGAAATATAATTCCACATATCGAATGACAAGTTGAAGAAGTAAATACATAGTAAGAATTCTGAATAAACGTAAGCAGTGATTATGCATGAGAAATGTACAAAGTATTGTGAATGACTTTTAATAAACTCTGATAGTAGGGTTTTTGTTCCCTGTTCCCTTGTCGCCCAGCCTCGAAGTGTATGCAGAAACAGTATTTATATATTCTAGCTATGAAAGTCCAACCCAAAGCTGATGGAAAAATGAACAAAATAACGAATTCTGGAGATTTTGTGATACAGCTTTCTCTCACGGTTGTCCACAAAGTGACTGTTTGTGCTGGGGTGAAAATAATATTTTCCCTATACAGGGGATTTTAAATTCGACCCTCACCATTGGGATCTCGGAAACTTCAAGTGATACGAAGTCACTTAAATAGGGGCAAAGTTGCGTATTCAGATAATCAGCAAAATGTCTCTTAGAAAGTTTTGAAATTGAAAGTACTTCCGGAAAGAGACGTAAAAAATGAAGTTTCCCAAAATGGTTTTAATTTTCTCCTGACTTTATTTGTGGTGGAATTTGAAAATAAATTGCACATCAACTCTGACACATTTTCTCCTCTACAAGACGGCACAGTTAGAATTTCTATATGACGTTTCGTCTCTTGTCCTCCAGCATCAACTTATTTTTCTCTTATAGACGCCATATTGGATTCTTACACACATGAGTAGAATTTTTATTCTGATTTAAAAAATTTTATGTCATACATTGACATTGCAAAGCCTTAGTTATTCCAGAAGTTCCTAGGTAGGCCTTGAAATTATTAGATTTCATTTGTTTGCATAGCAACAGAGTTTGGAAGACTGAATACCTCTGCTTATTTATGGTTATTATTGTTATTACCATCAATAAAATTTTCATTTCGTATTCAGGTTTCACCATACCTTTTTATCTCCTTTTAATTTTCATCCAACAACAAATTTATGGTCAACTAACAATCACTGAATTTAGGGCTTAAAAAGTCCATTTAAATGTACAAAATTCCAATATAGTGTCCGTATGAAAAAACAAATTTGATGATGGAAGTCGAAAGAAGAAATGACGAATAGAAAATTTGACTACGCCATCTTGCAGTCGAAAATAAGTAACAATGACAATATGCAATTTATTTTGAAATCCCATCTCGAATAGAGTCGGGGAAAAATAGAGCGGTTTTGGGATAAATCTGCTGAGCGAAACAAACATCTGATAATTTCAAGGCCTACCTAAGAAATTCTGTTTTTCTTAAAGTAATCAAGGTTTGGCAAAGTCAATGTATGATGTATTGTGCATTTTTTGAATCAAAATTAAAAACTCTATTCATCTGTGCAAAAATATAATATAGTGTCCTTAAGAAATAATAAAGTTGATGCTGGAGGACAAGAGGCGAACCGTCATATAGAACTTCTGAATATACCTTCTTGTAGAGGAGAAAACGTGGCACTGTTAATGAGCAATTTATTTTAAAATCCCAAAATAAAAGTCAGGAAAAAATCAGAACAATTTTGGGACTCTACGGAAGTACTTTGAATTTCGAAACCTTCTAAGTGTCACTTTGGTGACTACCCCATTTAAGCGACTTCATATCCCTTACAGTTTCCAAGATCCCAATGGTGAGTGCCAAATTAGAAACACCCTGTATATGCAGACTCTTACTAGAAGAAAGAAGTGGAAATACTAAAAATATTTAATTAAGGTTTTTGGGTTTCATTTTTGTTTACACCGAAGCAGCTGCGCAGGTGAGCCCTACATGCCAAGGCACCGCGGCTGCTTTCAGGAGCTTAAAGAAACTTTGTTATTCCCATTTTTGAACTGCCTAAAGTTAGTAGAACTGGAGAAAATCTCCTCATGTAGATTGTTACACGATCTCGACACCCGGGAGCGGTCTTATCGGCCAGTTCTGGATTTACGAAGTTCGACACACTTACGATGGGAGGCCGAAGTCAGGTAGGCACATCGTGGGGCGACACCATGGAAGAGTGCTCTGAGGAGCAAAGCCCGTTGGCGTAGCTAGCCAACGGCCCGTTTGTACGAAGGTTAACTGGTGTCCTCTGATCTGTCAGAAGGTTCTGTATGAACAGCAGATTAGCTGTCGGAAATCAGTCAGAAACTGTACGAACAGGTAACATCTCTCTGATTCTGATTTTGACAGTCACCGACAAGTTACCGACTACTGTACGAACAAACCATAAATGTCAGTAAATGCAAAATTATAACATATACACATCAGCAGAATAAGACTCTAAGTGGTCTAAATCTTGAAAGACATGATACTATACTATCTGTGACTTGGGACTAATATTTGATAGTAGACTGAGTTTTGATCATCAAATATCTCAAATAATTTCTGATTCAAGCAGGTATTTTGCTTTTATGGTTAAAAATTGTAAACTTGTATCTGATATTGATGCCTTGAGAACTTTATACTTTACCTATGTAAGATACATAGAATGTGAATCAATAGTTAGGAGTTCTTTCTACCAATGCTACATAAACAGGATTGATTATGTCCACAAAAACTTTTTAAAATACGTAGTCTTTAAAGCTGATGAATTTTATCCAGAGCATTCATGTGACTTCGGAGTTGTATTAAATAGATTTGAGTTACACTTGCTGCGTCTGAACTATTATCCCAAATATCCTTTTATGATCCTAGATTTAGACAGGCACAGCAATTTTTTTGTTTGTGGGCTAATACCAACTTGCATTTAAAGTCACCAGTTAGAGTAATGAGCTCAAACTTTAATGAAGTTTGTAAATTGTGTGATAAGTTTAACTGTACTTTTGGGAGTCTTAAAAGTATCTTGAGTGAGTTAAATTATGTATGGTGATATTAACTTATAAATGGGTTATTTCTCTTGGGTGATAAATATTATTATTATTATTATTACTTCATAGTCCTTACCTAATTGGTTTTTCATGCTTTGTGAGGTATCAACTAGGTCGTTTTCATTACATCCACAGCTTATTGTTACACTTATCTTTAATAAATTTCGTTAGAGAAACTTCCAAGTTTGATGTTTTTCAGATCCACATTTTCTTCAATGTACGATTCGTTTGATTGGCCTCTCTGGCCTTCCTTTGACTTCACCACCTCACTATACTTCCTTCTCAGGTACAACAGTGCACTTTTGATTTCTTCCCTAAGTTGATTACTTCTAGTTTTCAGTTCCCCTATTTGGTTCTTTTGTATGTTCCTCCAGGTCTACTATATGGCTGCGTCAATATTTTCTTTCTTTGCATTGACTACCTGAGACTTGCATTGTACCATCCTTTTTAGCATACTTATTGATTCGTTTTCTCTGCATTTCACACAGTAGGATTTCATAACTCCGGAATGCAGCTCCAGTACTCTCACCCCAGAGTATGTTAGCAGGCCACATTGTTTACAATTGCGATTTCTACACTCATATACTGGATTTTTGTCTTGTCCACATACGCCACATATCACATTCCTTGTTGAAATTTTTCACCTACGCCACTGGAACATTTGGTGAAATCCTCTGAGTACACTAGCAATAGCATTGATTTTCGTTAGGTAAACCAGACTAGTTTTTTGTTAAAGTTTTCTTTATGATAGAATGTGATGGTAATCCACTCTACACATATAATCTTTGCTTGCTTTCAAAATAATGACGTCAACTTCCGGTACCTAATTACTCTGAATACATATTTGTTTTTTTAAATCTTGCCATTTATATTATGAAGATACAAATCAACATCATCCTCAAATATTTCTTCAGGTACTCCTCTACATCAGCCTGAAGAAGACCAGCTGATTCTTCCAAATGCCTTACAACAACAGCAACAACAGCAGTCACAACAATCGCAACCTTCTACTTCACAAGTGCCCCCTTTGGCCCCCATGGGAGGGCTAACTCCTACATTAGGCTTAGGTATGGGGCATGCAATGTCCATGCCTCAGACGAAATATGTCACCGGGTTTGCACTGCCTATAAGTACCATGACTGGGCAACCGCCTGTAAGTATTTGGTATTTAAGAAAGTTGATACATATTCAAAAATATAAGGTGTGATATGGTCAAAATTGCTTGACTTCAAAAATCATAATTTATACCATACCAGATAAGTGAGGTGAACTAACATTATAGCTTGAATTCTTGATTATTTTGTTACCACATTATACTGCTTACTGTTATTTGTTAAGAAAATCCAGGCTTAATTCTTGTAACAAAAGAGTAGAACAACTGAGATAAAATGGGCGTAATCCTATTGTCTTTCAGGAACTGTATTCCTCAACATCAATAGAAGAGTCGCTACTCAGGTCATGCACAACAGAAAAACTGTGGTTATCTCGCCGTCGTCGGCCAAACAAATATTTGAAGACGAAGCTAACTTTTGATGAACATATTTTTCAGAAATTGATTGCATTCATGAACTCATTTGAAAAATATCAAGACACACGTCAAAAGCTGTTAAACAGTTAATACAATACCTTCTACTGGTTATTTCATTCACACGTTTTCAAAAATCTGCCCCAAATATCGTGTATAAAATCAGGTTTGATGAGTGGTGATTTTACTGCAAGATATGCTCCTATTTTGTTCTCTTTAAAAAACATATAGAGAAGAAAATATCACCATTTTTACCCTTCCACTGACAACTATGTCACTGATTGCTGAGATATACATGGAATCTTAGCCACAAAGCAACCTGAGTAAAAGATGTTATGTATTTTCTAAACAAATGGCATCTTGGCATCTATACATATATACGTAAATTTTGTATTGTAAATACAACTAGAATAATATGATATATATTTATTATTTTATTAAGTCTACAGTAGGTACATACCAATATATAGTATTGGTACTTTATTTTTGATATTGATTTCAAACAATGCATTGTTGAATGAATTCCACAAATCACCTTAGAAATTCTTGCTTGTATATTATATGCCTAGGTTAAACCTACTGAAAGTACTGCTTGAAGAAAGTGTGTCTATTTGACAGAGAATTTTGTATGGTGTATAAACTTTGGCTACATGTAAAGTTGACTTAAAACTATTACTATACAGTTTTGAGAATTATCTACAAAGACATCTATGCCAAAAAAGGTGATTTTTGTTGTAACTTATCTACTTTCTAAGAGCATTGTTAATTAAATATTTTTTTTACTTAATATGCATTTGCATATAGAGAGATATTAAATTAATTTACAGTCCAGCCAGAAAAGACTTATTTATGTTCCAGGATCCTATTTAGGCCTACCATTTTACGCAGTTTGATAGTGCATTCACAATTGTTTTCAGTTGAAATTGGTTCTGATATGGTTACAAATATACTTATTGAAAGTGTCATCAAAAATCATAACTTCAGTAGTAATAATTATCAATAATGCTTATATGTTCAAATATCATCATTCCATAAATTGCCCATTAACAGTTGGCATGGCACCACACTATGGTATCGTCCATTTGTGCTAGTGCAAGTTTGTAAAATAAGATTTATTCAAGACACCTATAATTTTATTGTTAATTTTTGTTATAAGTGAAAAAACATGTATTAAGACATCAGTGATTTGTGCCCATTTTGTAATAAGCCTTTTAAGAAAAAAAGGTACCTATGTTTAGTTGAATTGTTGAATAGAATGATGATAATGACCACATTACTTGATTGCTAATCAGATAGCGGACATTTTTGAACACTTTTTCTGTTTAAATTATGGATGTTCAGATAATTGTTACACCCTCCTGTTTTTCACTTACTACTTTTTAAAAAAAATTAATAACCCGTACTGCAGACACATGAATTGAACACCTGCATAATGGTGCCAGCTCTATGAACAATTCCCAATTATATATAATATAAATGTTTGTTACAGCATACAATGATGAGCCCAATGGTCAATATGGGCAGCAACATGACCTCAACAGGAACACCTGCTGTAGGAGGTCCATCTACACCATCACCTATGACACCAATGACCCCTCATTCTGCAGATCCTGGAATTATACCTCAGTTACAGTGAGTAGATATATATTTTTCAAATATTTTCACTAACACTCAAGTTTCCATTACCACTTATGTCTTTTATTGTCAGAAATATCGTATCTACCGTGAACCTCAATTGTAAACTGGACCTGAAAAAGATCGCGTTGCATGCGAGAAATGCTGAATACAACCCAAAACGTTTTGCTGCTGTCATTATGAGAATAAGGGAACCAAGGACGACTGCCTTAATATTTTCGTCTGGTAAAATGGTTTGTACAGGCGCTAAGAGTGAAGAAGACTCCAGGCTAGCAGCTAGAAAGTAAGTGTTTACTTTTAGATAGAGATTTTAAAAATAATCGGTTTTAGTTTTAATCGTTTAATTTTTCCCTATATTCGATTATTGTTAATCGATTGTCTTGATAATCAATCGATTCAATATATTAATGTGTATATACAATATATATATATATATATATATATATATATATATATATACATATATGTGAGCGGTAGTCATTAATTGTTAATTGGTAAATTGGCAAAACTCTCAGGCTTAAGTTGACTCTTTTGACGATAAAATCAAGATTTCGGCATTCTTTATGGAGCCTTCATCAGGATTCTGAAAACACAATTGTGATGCTAGCAAAGAAAACAGGACAGATTTAAATTGTCAGACAACTCACTCGTCGGTGAGGTTGCAGCCACAAGTAGTTTCAGAACGAACGTAGAAAAGATCGAACTTATAATTAGTATAAAAACAAAAGGACGGGGACATTGGGTTTGTTGTAAAACGACCTTCGTTAAATGTTAAAAATATCAATCCACCCTAACAAGTTAAAAATATTACACGCGAGAACGACATTTTGTTGAAACAATCGGAATGCAGTCTCTAACCTTCTGTTTCCGCAAACACGTGGAGAGGGGGACGGTCACGGAAAGATAATGCGTCGACAGATGACAAGTGATTGACGCGACGGACAGGATCATCCCGAGTTAATTGTTACAAAATCAGACAAAGGCAATGTTACCGTAATTATGTTAAGACAACAATATTTTGACCTATGTAACAATTTGATTGATAATGATCCCTCTTACAAGGTTGTCAATAAAGACCCTACATTGAAAGTAGAGAAAAGGTTGCAATGACATTGTTAACAAGCTACTCAACACTGGTCAAATCAACCAAGACCAAAAGAAGTCCTTGATCACTTATAATTCTGTCTCTCCCAAATTTTATGCTCTTCCCAAAATACACAAACCGGTACTGCCAGTAAGACCGATTGTGGCTTCTGTTGAATCAGCCACACTAGCTTTATCTTCATTAATTGCAGATATTCTAAAGTCAGCTCACATCAAAGGAGTATACTTTATAAAATACTCTTTTGATGTTTTTCAAAAATTTAATAGGTTTCAAATACCCCCTGATCATGTCATTGTGAGTCTAGATGTAGTTTCACTGTTCAGAAATGTGTATTTAGAAGCTTGCATCAGATCCATCAACAAACATTGGGATCTAATTTGCCAACACAGCAACCTAACTCTGGATTCTTTCATCAATATCGTAGAGTACCTTTTCCAGAACAATTATTTTACCTTTAATATCAAAGTGTTTTCACAAACACATGGCTGCCCCATGGGCTCTGTTTTATCTCCAATTTTGGCAGAATATGTAATGGATGATCTGCTTGATGTTGTTATTCAAGTATTGCCATACAATATAATTTTCATAAAAAAGTATGTGGACGATATAATCGTTTGTCTTCCTTATGACAGGGTGGATGATATTGTTGAGGTTTTTAACAGTTATGATCCCTACATCCAGTTCACCATCGAAAAGGAAGATTACAATCAATCTGTTCCCTTTTTGGATTCAAGATTGATTCGTACCAATGACAATATATTACTGGTAGATTGGTACAGGAAACCAATTTCTTCCAGAAGGTTCCTGAACTTCAGGTCTTACCATGAACTTAAAATAAAAATAAACTTGGTGAAACAAATGAAGAACAGGGTTATAAAAATCTCTGACAGTACTTTCCATCTTTCCAATTTAAGGAAGCTTTCAGTCTTATTTATCAATAATGACTATCCTAAGTATTTGGTTAACAGAATCTTGTTCAGCTCTCCTCCGAATATTTTGCCAATGACTAATAACAATAGTGAAAATGACAACACTGGTCAGTCCAACCAGACACCCATTACTTCTTCAACTAATGAGAACAACAGCACTACAGTGGTTGCTCCTATTTCCAGAGTTAATTATGTTGTTTTGCCATACATCAAAGAACTAACACCAAAATTGATCAGGCTGTATAATTCCTTTAATTGTCGTTTTGCTTGTAAATCAGTGCTCACAGTCAACAGTTTGTTGTCCAAAATGAAGGATAAGGTTCAGTTGCTTGATTCAACCAATACTGTATGTCGTATTAATTGCAACAACTGTAATTTAGTTTATACAGGCCAAACTTCTACGTCGCTGAAAGGCAGGATAACTTCACACAAAAGTGACGCCAGATTACATCCAGAGAGATGTGCTTTGGCATCGCATATTAACAACAGGTCAGACTCTCAAAACGTTTATTTTTAGAAATGCCCCACATTTTCATGACAGATCATTGCATGAATAAAAAGGCTGATGTCAAACAGCTCAGTGCCATTTATTCATACCTGTTGAATTGCGAAAAGCTAGAACGGCTACATATAATAAAATAAAATTGGAATACATTTTCTCACTTACATTTTTAATATAAACTCACATAACCCATCTTTTCAAGGTTGTATCAATATCACACATTCTTACATTCATATGAGCTACACAATTTTTTCCAAGACAAGTTAATTCAGCATTTTAGTAATTTTGGGTGGAGGTTTACCGAGCGTCCCTCGTAAACTTCATACCCAAAGCTGGACAGGGAGGTTTACAGTTCCACGGTCCGTCGCGTCAATCTCTTGTCATCTGTCGACGCATTATCTTTCCGTGCCGTCCCCCTCTCCACGTGTTTGCGGAAACAGAAGGTTAGAGACTGCATTCCGATTGTTTCAGCAAAATGTCGTTCTCGCGTGTAATATTTTTAACTTGTTCGGGTGGATTGATATTTTTAACATTTAACGAAGGTATCTGTCGTTTTACAACAAACCCAATGTCCCCGTCCTTTTGTTTTTATACTGATTATAAGTTCGATCTTCTCTACGTTCGTTCTGAAACACCTTGTGGCTGCAACCTCACCGACAAGTAAGTTGTCTAACAATTTAAATCTATCCTGTTTTCTTTGCTAGCACCACAATTGTGTTTTCAGAATCCTGATGAAGGCTCCATAGAGAATGCCGAAAGCTTGATTTTATCGTCAAAAGAGTCAACTTAAGCCTAAGAGTTTTGCTAATTTCCCAATTAACAATTAATTGTATTTTGTATATATACATATATATTGAAGTTGAGTCATTAATTTTCAGATAATGATTGTAGAAGGAAGATAAACCAAAAATATGTGTAAAAATAAAAGAAAAATTAAAAAAAAAATGTTACCTTGTTTTATAAAGTATCCTCCCGACAAGTATTTCAGTACGGACCTGTATTTGATCGTGCGGTCTTGGAGCACCGGCATACCCTCCCCTGTGAGGTCTCAAGTCACCTGATTCACGAGCCCTTTGTACTACATTAACAAAGGCACGAGGGGCTGGTTGCACTCGATTGGGAAACCGATCCGCATAAATCCGTGATGCCGCGGCAGACACCCCCCCCGTAAATGAGAATCATGTCCACAAGTTCGGCATTTTCGTAAACATGTGCCATTTTTTATTTCGTTTGAGCCACGCAACAAACACCACTATTCACTCACGCCTTACCGACTGACACATTGACTGAATACAACTGAATAAAATTGTAGTAAAAACATCGTGATAAGCGTTTCAAATTCTTTCGCTTTTTTGTTTCCGATGCGATGAACCGATAAGGCGGGTTATATCCGTTGTTGCCCAACACGAGCACATAATATTATTATTGAGACAGGGCGGTACTCAAACTTCTAAAGGGCTATAACTTTGTTACTTTAATTTTACCAGAAAAATGTTAAAGGAAAAAAACATTTCTTTTGATCAGATCTACTCACTGTTAAAATAAATGACTCAACTTCGAAGTCACCCTGTATATGTGAAAAATTAAAGCTTCCGCCTTTTTTTGGGTACTTCGACAGAATTTAAGCAACGAGGACTCTTTATACTTTTTTATTCTCTCTAGCTTTCTTTGCCATCATCATCAGGAGCTGCAATTACATTGATAACAGTAGCAACAAATGTGTAAAATGAATTTAAATTAACTTACAGTAGTATGTGAGGATGTGGCTAATTGTTGTTTACGTTAAGGAAAGCTAGAGAGAATAAAAAAGTATAAAGAGTCCTCCTTGCTTAAATTTTGTCTAAGTACCCAACAAAAGGCGGAAGCTTTAATTTTTCACCTAACTGGTCTAGACGACAATGACTACGCCTCAAGTTATATATATATATATATATATACGAGCCCCTTCCCACTTCAGTTGGCCCAACTATTGAAATCTTAGTTTTTTCTTATCAAACACAAATAATAAACATGTAGCAGGGTGTTATAGGTTTAAAATATTAACAATGAATATTTTGATAATATATAGTAGAAAACACCAACTTTATCACTCCCTAATCAAATTTGCAGCATAAAAACAACATATGTTGCAATTACAGCATATCAACCTATTTTCATTTCAATGCAAAATAAGTCTATAACGCATAGGTGGCTGTGAAAAATAAAAGCCATGACAATTGTTTTTATTAATCAACTGATGTGGGAAGGGGCTCTATATATATATATATATATATATATATATATATATATATATACAGGGTGGCCAAACACGTGACGTCATAAAAAAAAATTAGATTCCCCACATCGAGAGGAACCCAAATCACCCCTATATATATGGTCCGATTTTGTTTAGTTTAGGAGTTATGATTTTTTTTCGGATTTTTCGAGAATTTTTGAGTTCTGTGTTTATTTTTACCATAACTTCGTTAATAATTGTGATAAATGCCTGCTTTTTTCACGATTATGTAGCTAAGACCTAAGGCTTAACTATCATATAATCATTCAAGTCATGTAACTAATACTACTTTTTAATTTTTTTCAAAATCTTCGAACATAACAAAAAAGTAAAAAAGTGCAACAACTTTGAACGTTTATAAAAAATTGAAAAAACATGTTCTTACTATTCGTAAGTATCTTAAAAACTTCCTTACGGTATCAGCTATTCACCGTAAAAATTTCATCAACCTAGCTTTACTACATGCTACCGTAATTGTGGCTCAAATAGAACCGAACCCAAAATTGGATAACCCTCTGCTCAATAGAAATTGTTAGTTTCGGAAAAAAAATTTGCAAAAACCACCAAAACACGTTTGATTTTTACTGAACAGCAGATTATTACTCATTTATGTTATTTACAAGAGGTTTTCAAAATGTCTGCCTCTAACAGAAATGCACAGTGTACACCTACGTATGAAATTTTGTTTTAAATCTCTAAATGCTTGTGTGTTGTTTTTCAACACATGTGTCGCTTCTTGAATTTTGTTCCTCAATGAATTTTCATTTGCACATTCTTGGGCGAATGTTATATCTTTAAAATATCCCCAAACAAAAAAATCAATGGGGTTGAGGTCAGGGGAGCGTGGAGGCCATCGTATCGGTCCGTTTCGTCCGATCCATCTGTCTGGGAACCTTTCGTTTAAGTAGTTTCGCACGATCGTTGCGTTGTGGCATGGTGCACCATCATTCTGGAACACCATGTTCCGTCTGGCTTCCAGGCTTGAATCTTCCAGCAATAATGGTAGGCTATTTTCAAGGAAGCTTTTGTAGGCTACCGAATCCAACCTTGACGGCAGTTCAAATGGACCGATAAATTCCATATTGAATATTCCTGACCACATGTTCACACTAAAACGGTGTTGAAATGTCGACGGCCTTGACTGGTGGGGGTTTTCAATAGCCCAAGTATGTAAATTATGGATATTGAATATCCCTGTTCTTTCAAAACGTGACTCGTCAGTCCATAAAATTTTATCAAAAAAATCGGGATCCTCTCGTTGTCTTCGCAGCATTCTCGCAGAAATCCACTCTTAACTGGTAATCTGAAGGCATCAATGCTTGAACTCTTTGAACATGATAGGCATGATAACCTTCTTCATGAAGAATATTTTGTATCGATGTTCGTGGTATTCTAAGGTTTTGTGCCATAGATCTCGTACTCGTTGAGGGATTCCGGCTAATTTCTTCAAGTACTACTTCTCTGCGATCCGGATCAGCTGTAGGATATCCTTCATTGCTTCCTCGTCCTGGAATGCGGCCTGCCATGAAAGTGTTATGTGTGTTAATAAAAACACGGTGGTCTGGGTAATGCTCAGCTGTACCGGGAACAACTTATACGCCGAGGCGGACCACAACCTGAGCATTACCCAGACCACCGTGTTTTTATTAACACACATAACACTTTCATGGCAGGCCGCATTCCAGGACGAGGAAGCAATGAAGGATATCCTACAGCTGATCCGGATCGCAGAGAAGTAGTACTTGAAGAAATTAGCCGGAATCCCTCAACGAGTACGCGATCTATGGCACAAAACCTTAGAATACCACGAACATCGATACAAAATATTCTTCATGAAGAAGGTTATCATGCCTATCATGTTCAAAGAGTTCAAGCGTTGATGCCTTCAGATTACCAGTTAAGAGTGGATTTCTGCGAGACAATGCTGCGAAGACAACGAGAGGATCCCGATTTTTTTGATAAAATTTTATGGACTGACGAGTCACGTTTTGAAAGAACAGGGATATTCAATATCCATAATTTACATACTTGGGCTGTTGAAAACCCCCACCAGTCAAGGCCGTCGACATTTCAACACCGTTTTAGTGTGAACATGTGGTCAGGAATATTCAATATGGAATTTATCGGTCCATTTGAACTGCCGTCAAGGTTGGATTCGGTAGCCTACAAAAGCTTCCTTGAAAATAGCCTACCATTATTGCTGGAAGATTCAAGCCTGGAAGCCAGACGGAACATGGTGTTCCAGAATGATGGTGCACCATGCCACAACGCAACGATCGTGCGAAACTACTTAAACGAAAGGTTCCCAGACAGATGGATCGGACGAAACGGACCGATACGATGGCCTCCACGCTCCCCTGACCTCAACCCCATTGATTTTTTTGTTTGGGGATATTTTAAAGATATAACATTCGCCCAAGAATGTGCAAATGAAAATTCATTGAGGAACAAAATTCAAGAAGCGACACATGTGTTGAAAAACAACACACAAGCATTTAGAGATTTAAAACAAAATTTCATACGTAGGTGTACACTGTGCATTTCTGTTAGAGGCAGACATTTTGAAAACCTCTTGTAAATAACATAAATGAGTAATAATCTGCTGTTCAGTAAAAATCAAACGTGTTTTTGTGGTTTTTGCAAATTTTTTTTCCGAAACTAACAATTTCTATTGAGCAGAGGGTTATCCAATTTTGGGTTCGGTTCTATTTGAGCCACAATTACGGTAGCATGTAGTAAAGCTAGGTTGATGAAATTTTTACGGTAAATAGCTGATACCGTAAGGAAGTTTTTAAGATACTTACGAATAGTAAGAACATGTTTTTTCAATTTTTTATAAACGTTCAAAGTTGTTGCACTTTTTTACTTTTTTGTTATGTTCGAAGATTTTGAAAAAAATTAAAAAGTAGTATTAGTTACATGACTTGAATGATTATATGATAATTAAGCCTTAGGTCTTAGCTACATAATCGTGAAAAAAGCAGGCATTTATCACAATTATTAACGAAGTTATGGTAAAAATAAACACAGAACTCAAAAATTCTCGAAAAATCCGAAAAAAAATCATAACTCCTAAACTAAACAAAATCGGACCATATATATGGGGGTGATTTGGGTTCCTCTCGATGTGGGGAATCTAATTTTTTTTTATGACGTCACGTGTTTGGCCACCCTGTATATATATATATATATATATGAGCAGTACGTGAGCAGTAGTCATTGCCAAAGCCATATATATAGAGAAAATGATCATGCGGAGAAAGGTATATAACAAAAAGTAGGAAAATTATGGGCAAAATCCGCAAAAAGGAGGAAAGTGGATTCGAGCAGAAAATAGGATAGGTAACCCGAGCGATACGTATTTCTGCTGGTTGGCTTCATCGGGCCCGAAATGAATGCACATATGAAACTACCAAAGTAGATACACATGTCCACACATCCGGATACGGGTGTAACCTGAGGAAACGAAGATGGAGAGGGATGTGGACTTCGTGTGTCGTTTTTTTTCCTCTCCATCTTCGTTTCCTCAGGTTACACCCGTATCCCGCTGCGTGGGCATGTGTATCTACTTTGGTAGTTTCATATGTGCATTCATTTCGGGCCTGATGAAGCCAACCAGCAGAAATACGTATTGCTCGGGTTACCTATCCTATTTTCTGCTCGAATCCACTTTCCTCCTTTTTGCGGATTTTGCCCATTATTTTCCTACTTTATATATATGAGCAGTACGTGAGCAGTAGTCATTGCCAAAGCCATATATATATATATATATATATATATACAGGGTGACTTTGAAGTTGAGTCATTAATTTTCAGATAATGATTGTAGAAGGAAGATAAACCAAAATATGTGTGTAAAAATAAAAAAATAAATAAAAAAAAAATGTTACCTTGTTTAATAAAGTATCGTCCCGACAAGTATTTCAGTGCGGACCTGTATTTGATCGTGCGGTATTGGAGCAGCATGCCCTGACCTGTGAGGTCTTAAGTCACCTGATTCACGAGCACTTTGTACTACATTAACAAAGGCACGAGGGGTTGGTTGCACTCGATTGGGAAACCGATTCGCATAAATCCGTGATGCATCCGGGAGCATTTTGTAAAGACTGCCCCCCCGTAAATAAGAATCATGTCCACAAGTTCAGCATTTTCGTAAACATGTGCCATTTTTGATTTCGTTTGAGCCACGCAACAAACACTTACTATTTATTCACTAACGCGTTATCGACTGACGAAAAACATCGTGATAAACGTTTCAAATTCTTTCGCTTTTTTGTTTCCGATGCGATGAACCGGTCAGGCGGATTATATCCGTTGTCGCCAAACACGAACATATTATTATTGAGACAGGGCAGTACTCAAACTTCCAAAGGGCTATAACTTTGTTACTTTAATTTTACCAGAAAAATGGTAAAGGAAAAAAACATTTCTTTTGATCAGATCTACTCACTGTTAAAATAAATGACTCAACTTCGAAGTCACCCTGTATATATATATATATATATATATATATATATATGAGGTTTAATTGGTTTTCAAAATATGTACAATCAGATGCTTTATCTACAACCTGAAAACGAAACTGGTAGTTGATTGGCTGTTGTTTCGGTGAGAAAATAGAAATCGAATAGAGGTCAAGTTGCAGTCGGGTTGCCTTCGTTGAGAACAGCGTTCTTATAGTATTCACAAGTTTATAATGGAGTTTTCCGCTGTATCCATTACGTTTTGACATCTACTGAGATTAACAGCTGATTACCAAGTGACGTCTTTGTATTAAAGCCTGCAGTGTTGGTAATAATGAATCGGGACTGCATTCAGAACTGATTATAATAAACATAGTCACAAGCTGTTTATCTTGTTTTATACCTACGTGACTTAAAATATAGTCATGATCATTAGCAGCTATTTTGCTTGTGGCGACTTTCATTCTGTGCGAAGATACTTTTCTAAATAAAAGCGTTATTACGTAGTATAAATCTTTACCGTACAAAAGACGACAACAATATAAGGCTCTGTCTATTGATGCATCGTTGAGAGATCTGTCAGAATTCTGTCACTTGTAGATACTTGATAATCTGTTGTTTGCTATCACGTTTGACATAATGGATACTCATGAAAGAGGCTTTATATATTTCACTATCTGTTCATGCATTTTTTTTGCAGATATGCTCGGATAATCCAGAAGCTCGGTTTTCCCGCTAAATTCCTTGACTTCAAAATTCAAAATATGGTGGGCAGTTGCGACGTGAAATTCCCCATAAGACTGGAAGGACTCGTACTCACCCATAGCTCTTTCAGCAGCTATGAACCAGAGTTGTTTCCTGGTTTGATTTACCGAATGGTCAAGCCAAGGATAGTGCTTTTAATTTTCGTGTCAGGCAAAGTGGTGCTGACTGGTGCCAAAGTCAGGCAGGAGATCTATGAAGCGTTTGATAATATTTATCCCATTTTAAAGAGTTTTAAGAAGCAGTGAATGTGAGATAGATGCCTTTGGATGAACTGTATTTTTAGGATAGGGTCGGATAGAATTAGCTGGACTTTTATTTTTGTAGGGACGGGGAAAGCGTTTTAACGGAGATTGATAAAACTATAGTAGAAAATACTAAATCTATTCGACAAATTGTTTTGTTTGACGTGACTTGGGTATGTGAAGTACTAGCATCTAGTCAATAATATTTTTTCAGATGATTCCTTATCATTTGTCATAGTACAAACCCTTAACAATGACCGCGCTCACTAGCATTTAGCAGTTGGATATTGGCAATGTCAGAAGCATGCCTAAGCAGGTTATGCACATTGCCAGTGATTGTCAGCTCATTTGCACTATTTTTCACGGTACCTCAGTTATGTTTGTTTTACACACAAATAAGCTGATCAGCTGCTTACGCCAAAACGTGATAAAGTATCGTGAACATGGATTAGATTATAGATTACATTCAGGAGCTGAGCTAAAGCAAACTCTACGAGTACAGTGGTAAAAGTCAGCTGCTGAATACTAGTGACACATTCCAGGTTATGTGGATGTTAATTTGAACATTTAAAATGTTATATCTGTGAACAGTTGTAGTTAGAGGCTTATTGCCGATCAAAGTTCGGTTTTTTAATTGCTGGTCACGTCGGATATCCTTTAATCAATGTAGTTGATGCAGAGCGCTGAGTGAAGGAACAAAAAACGTATTTAATCTATGTTTCATTCCAGTTTCTAAACGCTATATATTAGGTAAAACGTATCCGGTACATTTGTTCACGAACATTCTGTACAGAACTCCGGTAGTCTGTAAACTGTTGTTCACGAACATTTGGTCCAGAACTACGGTAGTCTGTATACTTGTAAGTCCACGGTCCGGCACATTTTATTCATGAACATGTGGATTTTAACAGTGGTCTACCAATCATGGAATTATGAACGGTCACGAAAATGTATTCTGTGCTGCAGAGTGTATCATACTGTACAGTTTACTTATAAAGAAATAAAGATAAGTACAATAATGACAATTTTCCTCTTTCTCATCACTTCAGTTGAATCAAATAAGAAAAATTCAGGTAATTCTTGATATACAACGTTCTTTTCATTCCTATTGCAACTAGTGCTAGATAAATTCCATGGTTGGTATGGATTCTACAATTTTATCTTTCATCGAATCCACATTGAAAATAATGTAAGGAACAAACAAGTGTTTTCCCTTCGGCAGCAGAAGCAACACTTGTGTGAGAACGTGGTGTATGTTCACGAGGGTTTCCAGACGCCAAGATCATTTTCTCATACCAATCTTCTCGTACATTCATTCGGCACAAAATCTCGTACACAGTGGCTGATTGAAGAGCTGGGGCATAAGAAATTTAGTGTGGTATGTCCGCCGTCTATATTTTCTTGCAATTAAAAAATAACGAATGAGCTATAAACATAACCTATAAGGTAATATAAACCATGCAGGCAGACCATTATCGTTAATGTTTATTACCTCATCATAGGCGAATAAATCGATAATAATTATCTACTTTGATTTTGAATTGGTTGATCTCTAACGTCCCTGAAGTTAGCTTCAGATTCAGATTTGAATATCATGAAATTACAGTCGACCAGTTCAGTAGTGAGCTCAAATCGCCGATATTATAGAAAACTGGTATTTTCAGCCCCTGATGGCTTTCAAATAAATTATTCTAGGTAGTATCCCCATCATAGAAGTACATCTTTACGGCATAGCTTTGCGAAAAATCAGGGGACTACAGGATGATTCTGTGCACATAAGGTTTGCCCTCAAATCAGAAAAGAAGTCGCAGATCCCAAACGGAAAATTATGCCACCAACAAACTCATATACGTTGTAGAGACTTAGGAGTACATCTCTACTGCATAGCTATGCGAAGAATCAGGAGACTAAGGAGTGTCTCTGCGCATATAAGGTTTGACTCCTCGAAAAAGAAAAAAAAATTGCAGATTCACACGCAGAATTCTGCCACCAACAAACTCCTATATGTTGTAGAGACACCATAAAAGTCCATCAAAGCAAAGCTTTGCCAAAAGTCGGGGTGTACACATTTTAGATATATTGCTATGAGGTCTCAACAACATATATGAGTTTGTTGATGCCATTATTCTTCCTTTGGGCTCTGAGATCTTTTTTCTGTTTTGAGGACTCAACCCGTATGTTCACAGAGTTACCCTGTAGTCCCCTGGTTTTTCGCAAAGCTATGCCGTAAGATGTACTCCTATGGGGTCTCTACAACAGATATGAGTTTGTTGGTGGCACAATTCTTCGTTTGGGTTCTGAATTTTTTTTAACTTTTATATGTAATTATTCTTTCGTATCGTTTATCGACATCACCCTGTATAACCCTAATTTAGTTTAACAGGTATGTGGTATTTACAGCAGTAGTGCAATTAGGCCTAATAACTGTTCCAGCGTCACTGGTAAATTCGAATTCCCGGATACTACCTAGAATATAATTTCATGATATTTGAACCTGAAGCTAACTTCAGGGACATATTTTATCCGGAAATGTCTGAAAGATAGGCAGCTGAGTGTTTCCTGCGTGTCTTAAGCAGTGGTATGAGTCAGTGGTGCATTGTATAACTTTTGTATGACGTATGATCGATCGATCGATGGTGATCTCGATGATGCCAATTAAACTAGCGTGATTAAAAACTGTTTTTTTTACTCAAATACTAATTCATCGTCCGGATTAATTCCTCTGCTTCATCAGTTCAAATAGGCAGACCATTACCGATAATACATTCGAACAATTCCACTAAATTCTGCTGTCAACAATGCAAAAAACAAGGAAAAACTTACGCTTGATGACCACATCCTACGCAAACATCCACCATCAATGCAGTCAATAAAGAGCAACATTTATAAGTGCGCTATATGTCAATACAAAACGACCATACCATTTCACAATAAAGAGAATGCTCCGAGTTACCAGTGTGCCACGTGTCAATTTAAAACCTGTCATACACGTAGTTATAAAGAACATTGAAAATACACAATGAAAGTTAAACCTATATTCTGTGTAGGATGTGACAAAAAATTTGTACAGAAAGTGCATTTAGACAGCCACATTTTGACTCACCATAGTGATAATGTTCAATTGATGAAAAGTATGACCCCAAAAATACATTACACACACGGTGCCTGCCATTCTGTAGTATCAAAAATTATGTAAAAAATGGGAGTATTATGTGTCGTATCGTCAGTCGGTCCTACAATAGTAGGACGCCTTTATGGGCTCCATGATGTTAATGATTTTCTACTGCTCCGTGTCAGCGCTCTATTTTGAGATTATGCTACAAATATCCATTTGCATCAAAGTGTTCATGCTTTTAATTTATATCATTTGTTGTATAACTTACCCCCTACAATTCAAAAATAAACCATAGCCTCATAACAGAACAGTAGAAATCTAGAAATAACCCAGCATCTTTGAAGGAGAAAATCAAGGAGGCCATAAAGACGTCCTACAATAAATTGTAGGAACGACTGAGGATACGTCCCTTACCCCTTTCAGGTCCAATTTTTATTTTCTGTTCTTCAAGAATATTTTTGACAAATATGGGTTTTTAACAAGTAATATAGGAAAATATTTTAATTGAAATGAAAAAATTCACAAAAAGTTAGTGGTGGGACAAATATATCCCAGTGGGGGTTTCAACTGAGACATATTATTGGTCCCAATGGGAAAACAAAAAAGGTTTTGTGTTTCAAAAATATATAAGTATGGTAAAGGCAAAGCAATGTTTACATAATCCTACATTACACATTATACAAATAGTAGTGGTTCTACGCTCCTTTTTTTGTAGAGCACAACGGGCGCAGCGTCGTCTTTTTGCTGTTTTCACTGGCAAATGATCTCCGACATTTTCCATAACTTTGGTTCTTTTTGATTACCTACCATGACTGTTACGTCGAAGTTTGACTGAAGTTTGTTTTTTTCCTTTTCCGATTAGATATTCTGATAAAGAAAATAGAAATTCCAATAGGGGTAATTTCTTTTGGGTTCGGTGTAAGTCGTTGTATATTACCCAGCTATTAACCACAGAAATCATCAGCAATCGATAAAATACCCCTTTCCACCATTTACATGATTTTCGATCCAAATCGTAAACACCGCTCATCTGGTCTGCGAGATCCATTATTTCGTTATAAAATGCAATGGCGGTAGGGCATGGCTCATCAACTTTTTTTCCAATTTTGTATTTTCTCTCTACACTCGTTAGGTATGCCTGGACTATGACAATTACTCAGCACAATAACTTCTTTCGTATCTTGCCATCTGGTTGCGAGAGAGCTTGATTGATTCGTCAAAAACTCACATTCGGCTCTATTTATTTTTTATTTTTTCATAATTTTTTGGCATGCCTTTTCTCGTAAGAATGGCAGCTGTTACCGCTGGGTACTGAAGGGAGGCAATCATAATATGTACTGAAGTACAAAATCGGTCAAATGCCAACACAACATTCGGATTTTTTATGGTATCACATAGTTTTTTGATTACTGTTTTACCAAGAGTTCCGCATCTTTCAACATCTTCTTTGCAGCAGTATACATCTATGTCATATGTATATCCTGTTTTAGCGTCATATCTACACCATAATTTTATGCCTCTCTTTACCGGTTTTTGATGACCCTTGAACCCAACCATGCTTTCGTCTATCCTTTGAAAAGTATATTTGAAACAGGATAGGAGTTCCTGCACGTAATATATTTTAATAGAGATTTCAGGCTTTTGAGGGTCGTTAAAATAAAGTTTGGAAAGAAGAGACAAACATCTGTTTTTAGATATGGCCGAGTTTATCGCTTTGTTTCCCAAAGATGGATGAGATGACAGGAATGCCTAAGATTAGGTACTTGTAGCACATAACCAATGAGCAACCGAGGGTGATCATAATTTCTCCTGCATCAGTAAGGGCAGCAGACTTGTTGCGATTACACATTTGAATTCTCTGATTTGTACATTTTGCGATTAAAATAAACAAACTACGCGTAAAAATATTGTTGAATATTCCTAGTGAAGTAGAATTTGCGGTTATCGATGGATCTATGGCGCACTGAATTTGATCCGGTATACTGAATCGTGGTTCTTTTGTCGCAGCAATATTTCCTTCTTCTTCTTCAGTTTCGCTATTTTCATTTTGAGTATCTTCATCAGAACTAGAGGACGGCTGATACGATTCGTCTGACTCTCCACTGATGTGAAATGGATCTTCGTCTGAACATGACTCTCCAGAGGTAGTACTTAATTCATCTGGTGAAGATATTTCGTCTAAATTCTCAGCGCTGTATCGAAGTTCAGCATCAGTCAGTCTTTTATTTTTCTTTCTTGACATACCAAAAAAATCCATTGGGATATATAGATAACCCAGTCAAAAAACCCACTTAGACTCATGCATCCAGACAAATATTGTATCAAATTATGCGAACAAATTAATCAAAAATATACAAAAATGTTGCTTTAATAGACTCTCAACTTACCTGAAAAAGTCTCTAAAAAACACAACAAAGGCGAAATTTGTACAAAAACAGGTCAAAAAGCCGACCACGTGCTATTTCTATGTTGTTTCCCTGTAGACTTATTGAAGGGCCCAGTGCTAAGGATGGACGTTTCTGCCTATCTCTGAAGAGAGCCAACCTAAGGTTGCTGATGGGAATGTTGTCTGGCTATAACACGTTAAGGCGCCACCTGAACGTGATGGGGGTGGCTGAGGATCCCTTGTGTGAATGCTGCGGGGTAGAGGAAGAGACCTCGGCGCACGTTTTGTGTCGCAGTGAAGCTCTGAACTACTATAGGCAGACTATACTGGGGTCCATTACTTTGGACCCTCAGGACGTCACGGAGCTTGGACTCAAAGCGATTCTCAACTTCACTAAAAGGGCGAGGCTTGTGATCTAAGGAATGTAGAGGTGCATAAGGGCCCGCTTAAGCGGCCTGTGCACTGGCTCTTTATGGTGGCCGGAATGCCTCTAATTTCAAGATTCATTCATTCAGACTGATACGCGAAAAGCATGCCGCCGCGAGTGAGAACCTTGCGAATGCTTCAGAATACCCATGAAAAACCATTCCTTTGTAATACGGGACATTTAAAGCACTGTGGCAGATTTTAAATCATACGTTGGGATTTATATGTCCCATTGAGGCTGGAAGGGTTACAGTACGCGTACACCAAAACTGATTTAGATGTCGGCCGGAGCTGTTTGGACGACTGTCTCGGATGTTCGTCTGCATACACTACGGCCGACATCGGACGTTGCCCGTCGGCCGTCAATCTTGAATACAGATTAACAGATCGAAGACCTGTTTTTAAAATGGAGTATTTCGAAGAGATGTATCTTTCAGAAAAATCGTACCGCCAGTTAATTCGTCGACGTCGTCGTGTGTGGGTTAATGAGATACTTATGCACAGAAAACAACTGGGTGAATTTCACCACCTTTTCGAAGCTTTAAACTTACAATCCATCAAATTCCTCGAATACTGTAGAATGTGTTATAATACATTTCAGTATATTGCTCTCTTGAATTGCTCAATTCTTTTTACTATTGTAAAGGCTATATCCATTTCCAATGCAACTTCAGCCCATAGCCGTTTTCCAATATCTCGATTAATGTAACTTTTTGAGTTTTTGTCCCACAGGGGTGGTCTATTATAAACAGAACCAATTAATATCCATACTTAAGATGCTAATTAATCGCGCTCACGTTATTTTACATAAGTTTGATTTTATCTGCCGATCACAGTTCGGCCGGTGACGGATTATGTTTACGCGAGCCGTTAGAGTTAATATGATTACTTAATGAAGATGTATTTTTGCAATTATAGAAAGGCAATAAATAGGTCGTATTGATATCGTTTTAGCAAAATCAGTAGTACACTATTTCAGAATAGCAGCATTGTCATCGCGTTGAGTATTTGGCGGCCACACAAACATATTTAATCGTTTTAATTCACTGTGTATGTGTGGACTGCTAATTAGGGGCTTAAAAACATTTTGTAAAATTCTACGAGTTACTTACAGGAATATTACAAGAATAATCTCATATGTACAGTTAATACTAATCAATTTTCCAAGGATCCTCAAAAGACAGAATATCCTTAAATGCTGCTGTGGTAAAAATCACATCATATTTAAGATATTTTCAGATCGAAGTGGCGTTGTAAATATACTCTAATACGACTTTTGTTTGTTTCGTATTAATTATCAGTATTGTTATGAAACTGGGATTGAAATGTATTAAGACGATTTCCTACTTGTTATGCGTTTTACGACTGAAATGAATGGATCAATTGAACTGTTATATTTTTTTAAGGCAACAATTTCACTGAAATGAAATAAAACCATATTTTAAGATTTGTTTTTTATTTATATATTACCTATTTGATATTTCACATACCTTGCTTGTAAAATTGAAATGTGTATATCGTGAGAAAAATGTTATAAACTTATATTGAACAACGTCATTCTGATTCCTACGTATTTTAAAAACAATTGTTGCTAACATCTTATGCACTCGTTTTAGTCTAAACTAACAGAACATTGTGAAACCTTGCTACGAAGCTAGTAGGTAAAAATATATGATATATACACTCAGACACAAAGTAAACAAACCAAGGCTGGCAAAAATGTATTGTCAAAGTTATCGTCCGTTGGGACGCTCCACTGGCATAGAAGTTGCTACGTTTACACGTAGCGGTTTAAGTTGCATTTCTAAGGTGCACCCTGCGGGAGTGGAGCATACACGAAATCTGATGTGGATTGCGTTAGACATAAAAAAGAGATAATATTGGTAACCTTTTTTAAATCCAAAGGTCCACAAGTCAGGTTCAGACAAAAATAATGCGCCTTTTCAATATGTAGCATTTGAACATATTTCCTTAAAAATCCTCACTTCAGTACAATTGCTGAATTCGGCTTCTATGTTCTGTGGTATAAACCTTGCATTTGCACGTATGCATTTTCAGTCATAAAGAACGTACCGGCCCATGCGGAAAAAAGCTTGAAAGCTGCATTGTTCCACGCGCCTTCCGAGACCTCACTGACATTGCTAAAATGTCATTAGAAAAAAATAAAATCCATGTAAATCCAAAAATCGAGATCCAAATCTATAGAGCAGCCAAAAATGTATACGAATTTCTCATGTAGCGTGGCTGAAATAAGACACCAATCTTGGAAATAAACTGGTATATTGAAAGAACAAACACAAGAGAAACCACTGAGTGTGAGTATACACTATATTCACTCTGTTCATAACTCGATGTTCGTCTTGAATGTTTGTATGCACCTGCTCTCATATGTGCGTGTTGTACTTCATACTATAGCTTCGCCAAGGGCTACCAAGACTGGAAAACCATCTTTTGTATTAAAGTCCATCGAATAAGCTTGAATTTAGCTAAGCCTGTCATTGTGTCTGCGTGGCACTATGCGTTGAAGTTTAGAGATGCGCCAATAAGTCTCTGAACTGCATGCAGCTTTGAAAGAATGAATTATGAAACTAGAGGTGTATTCCACCGTGAGGAGTCGGCGCATAAGCCACATAGACGTGCCCTTATGCACATCTACATTCCTAGACCTCAAGCCTCGCCCTTCTAGCAAAGTTGAGTATGACCTCAAGTGCCAGCTCCTTAACGTTCTGGGGTCCAAGTGATGGACCCCAGTATGGCCTGTAGTAGCTCAGAGACTTACCGCTACACAGAACGTGCGCCGAGGTCTCTTCCTCTACCCCGCATCGCTCACACAATGGATCCTTAGCCACCCCAACATGTGCAGGTGGCGCCTCAACTTATTATGGCCAGACAACTATCCCACCACAATCTCAGATTGGCTCTATACAAGTATAAGCAAAAGCGTCCATCCTTAGCGCTAGGCCCCACGGTGGGTTCCCGTGCCTGACGGAGATGTCTGGAGACGCTTTTCCAGTTCTGAGAGTGTTGTCTTGCAATCCACTTCTACATCCTAACTCTTTGCGCGGGCACCCCTAAGGCTGGTACAGGACCAACAGTATCATTGCCCTTTATCCCAGCGAACCCCGGTACTCACGCTAACGATACCGGATACCTCGCTGCTAGACAATCCAGAGCCTCCCCACATTGCAACACAAGGCTCGAAGTAATCTTATAGGCACTTAAGTGCCTTAATTGCAGCCTGGCTGTTGGAGAAGATACTTCTCCTAGGCTCTCCCCTCTACAAAATGGAGAATACGCATACCATAATCGCAAAGATTTCCGCCTGGAAAAAAGTGGTGTATCTACCAAGAGGCAGAGATAACCTACAGTATATTCAGATAAGAGATAGACCGGATGTAAACAAAAGGTTCGGGTGATTTCCACGCTAACGCCGCCGTCTCGACGTAAAACAGGAGCCCTCATTGGTCAATTCGCAATTAAATGCCTATGCCGAGCGGCAGAGCAGTCGTATCAAGGCAGAGTCACATTCAGGTTCAGACGTGTTACGTATGTCGTGTGCATCATTGCAATTTGATATTTCTTTGGACGTTTTCGTTTGTTATCTTATTAAGTTGTTGAGTTTGTCGTTGTTATTGTTATACCTTGTTATTGATTGTTATTGTTATCAACTGCTTGCGCAAAATGCCCAGTAGTACAGATACTGCCGATGAAGTTGTAAACTCCTGTAGTCCACCTAGGAAACGCTCTAGAAAAAGACACCTGAGTGCAGAAATGAAAGAGGTCATTTTGAATATATATAAGATCGAGCGCGAGGAGAACGAGGCATCAACCATCAAAGAAATTGTTGTGAAGGTTTCTCACAAAGTTGGGGTGTGTCGAGCATCAGTGTTTAATGTGTTAAGACAATACAAAAAAAATGAAGATACAACGTTGCCAAATTTCAAACGATCAACTTTCCATGCGTTACTGAAGCATTTAAATTTCAAATGGAAAAAACGGGGTCGTAATAGTTTACTACTGGATAGAGAAGAAATTGTGCTATGGAGGAGGGATTATTTAACAAAAATTGGGAAATATAGAAATCAAAACAGGAAGATTTATTACCTTGATGAAACGTGGGTAAACGCAGGACACACTACAAGTAAAGTATGGGTTGATGATTCTGTAACTTCATCCAGGAGGGCCTTTCTAGATGGACTGTCCACCGGATTAAAAAATCCAGCAGGTAAATACGAGTAATAGACAACAATCGGATGTTTTTCAAACCTTGGGAACAAGGTTCTAAACATTAATTCCAGGGGGCAGATAAAACATATTACAAGTAACAAAACTTTTATAACTTTCGATAAAATGCGTGGATGTTTTATTGTCATTTTCATTTGTTAGAACTTTTTTAAGCCATGTTTTTATGTGTTTTCGATATTTCAATAATTTTTTAATATAATCTTAAAATATGTCGAATATTATAAACTTAAAAAAAGTTACTAAGTTTTATATTGTGTACCGTTCCTAATATTTCTAATCATTTTAATTCATACTTTAAGCTTTATAAAGTTATAATTTGTTAATATTAATATTTGCGCGTATTTCAGGTTCCTGATCATTCATTTTTTAAAGGTTTATAACTTTAAATTAAATTGTGAAGCGCTGAGTAATCATACGACGTTCAATATTCTTTCTTTCAATATGACTAAATAATCCCAATTATAGCAATCTGATACTCATGTCTCAATGTTTTTTCGCTGAATGTGATGAAAACATTTGAAAAAGGTTCGCTCATTGAAATAAATCTACACCAGTTAGTACTTCAATTTCCAGGTAAAGGGAAAAGGCTCATTATCTGCCATATTGACAGTGAGGATGGATTTGTTGTTGACGGTCTGTGGTGCTTTGAGTCTAAGAAAACTGGAGATTACCACGAGGAAATGAATGGCGATTCGTTTGAACAGTGGTTTTCAAAAATTTTACCGAACTTAGAGGAAAACGCAGTAATTGTGTTGGATAATGCGCCTTATCATTCTCGAAGAATGGAGAAGGTCCCAACAACGGCTTCAAGGAAAGTTGATGTTCAAAATTGGCTCCGCTCGAAAAATATCAACTTTGAAGAAGCAATGCTGAAAGTACAATTATTAAGAATTGTCAAGGATCACAAGGCGGAATATCAAAAATACGCCATTGACGAAATGGCAGCAAGTCAAAATAAAACTGTGCTCCGTTTACCTCCATACCATTGCGAGCTCAATCCCATTGAGCTCATATGGGCAGGGGTTAAAAATTATATAGCTAAGCACAATACAACTTTTAAATTTTGTGACCTCAAAGGACTTTTCAAAGAAGCACTAGAATTAATAACAGCGCAAAAATGGGAAAACTGTATTAAGCACGTGAAAGACAAAGTTGAAAAGAGAATGTGGGAACTGGACAATATTTTAGAGGAACAAGTCGAGCCATTCATTATTGACGTTGGTGCTTCAGGCAGTAGCGATGATGAAAGCTCATCAAGCTCATCTTTCCAATAAAAGATGTCGTTCATCAAATTCGGTAAGTTATAAGTAATTATAAAGCTACTGTATTTTTTAATTAATTATTGACATTTTTGAACCCATTTTGGCAAAACCTATTCAAGAATCTACTTTCTGACAATGTTCAACCATGCACATTTTTTTACGTTTTGAACGTTTTAATTTGGTTACATATTTACCTAGAAATCAAAAAATATGCTAATCAATATTCTAAAAGCAATTTTAAGAGATATACGATTATTTTTAATTTAGGCTAATTTAAACGCCATTTTGAGATTATATTCGACTGTATTTCACCAAACATCAGGCGGCATCCGAAGCTGGAAATCGAAGCGAAAATTTTGAAACCCTTATGTATATTTACATCATTATATATTTCTTACCCCACCCCCACATGATCCTATATCCATCACCAATCGTATACACATCGAATTGTGCTAATTTACTACAAAGTTACGCAAAGCAGCATCTACTATCTAAAATATGTACTGCGTGACTCTTAATACGTCCCTGCCGAATGTTACAGCGTTCGATGATCACGTGGTCTTGTTTATGTCCGGTCTATCTCTTATCTGAATATACTGTAGTAGTAGGCACAAAGTCTCCGGAGCCAGAGCCGTCTTGAGTGACCGAGCCGTTCCTGTACTAGACCGGTCCACTCCCTCTAGCGATATTTAGGAGTGATCAGATCATCCCTGCTCAGAAGGACAGGACCCTCATTTTGCAGTTCGACTAAGATGGCAGTGTGACTCTTGAAAGGATTCAAAAAGGCCCAGCTGCCCTGACTCCACAGTCGATGTGCGACTACTCTCGCTTCTCGGAGGATCTCTAGATCCAACGGTGGGAGATCCAGCAGAGCTTCCATTGCACTCAATGACGCTGTCCGCACTGCGCTTGTAATACTGATACAAGACAAACGTTGA